GGTTAGAGACGGGATGAGAACAGAGTGTCGTCAACTTTTTGGTTGGGCTGAAAACAATGATCCAAAACAAGGCAGGGTGAATAGATTTCAAGGTGAAAATGTTCGGGTAAATTCAAAATGAGCCAAAATGGCCGATTAGAGCCCAGACCTCAGAGGGTTAATGTGAAGCAGAGTTCATCTGATGACAGATACACACCAACAGGTTTTTTCTTTTATCCATTATCTTTTAACAAAACATAATGGTGATGGGTTAAATTTGTACAGACATGGTCAGCTATCAGTTTCTTTTCTTTTAAAAGGACAAATCAGCCAATGAAAATCTGTCTCTGACAGGAAGGTAGGAAAAGACCAGAAGGACTCAGACTGAGGACATGTAGTGCTGAAATCATGCTTTATTAAATCAGTAATGCATAGAACTCCAGGATGAAATGTTCTAAATCAGCAGATTAATTCAACCAAAGTGCAGGGCATCAAGCAGAAGTGTTCCTCTCACAGGAGATACACTCTGTGATGTGAACAAAGAAAACCCTGACTAATGACACAAAGAAACAACTACAAGCTACACTCACACCAAAAACACTAACATGTTAGCTACTCTCCACCAGGAGGTGGCGCTGTTTCTGCACAGCAGAGCTGGCATTGACTTCCTGTTCACCCATGGCCAGGAGATGTTTCTGTTGAGAAGCCCAGCCAGCTGTGTTGTGGCAGAAGCAGCGTTTTTTTTTTTTCTTCAAATGAATCGTGATGCAGAGAGCGCAGGCCGCTTACGCCCTCTGCAGGTCATCATACGGCAGTACGACACAGTCAGTCTGAACACAAGGCCGCATCACGCTGCTTACATGAGGGTGATGCAAACAGCGCTCAGGGCCTTACGCTCATGGTACAACTTACAGGAAACTGTAAAATCCTACGCACAGACGCAGGTAAAGAACTTTATCTTTCTGTTTCTGTTTCGTAACATCAACAGGGAGCCTCTCTACCTGTTGAGGCAAACTTAGACTTCAACTGTTCGTTGAGGCACAGAGTTTAGTTTCTCACTTTAACAAGGTATTCGTTTCTGTCGAAACTTTCTCCTGTTAAACTACATTAAGTTGCTTTAAGTTTCTCTTTATATTATTGTCTTAAATAACAATGCATACATTTCCCATAACCGGTAAATTCGGCTATATACATTATATACATGTCACAGGTTCAAACATCCTAAGTCAATGTTATCCAATATGGCACATTTTAWAACAACTTTAGACTTTAGTCTACTTTGGCAAAAATTCATGTCACGTTTGGTACAAAAATAGTTCCTATTTACAAGAAAATTCCTGATCTTTATCAAGTAAGGTTGTAAATAAACAGTGTGGGATGAGAGAAATGGAGACAGAAATGGGGTATATAATGTTTTTTACATGGACCGGATGTGAATGTTGACGGTTGCAGAGTCAGAGCCGAACTCGTTGGACAGYCGGAGGGTGTACGCTCCTGCGTCTGCCTCCTTCACTGCACAGATCATCAGGGTGGACACATCCTCTTTGACCCCCACATGGATACGCTCATCCTCGTTAGGGAGAGTCTGACCCGAGTGGACCCACTGGACAAAGGGGGCGGGGTCTCCAGAGAACACACCTGTCACAGTCAGGGATTCTCCTGACTCAGCGCTGACACGCTGAGGAAGAGCTTCGATCTTTGGTGGAGAGCCTGTTAATGGAGACAGAGAGCAGGTCAGGTCGACGTCCTCACTGTGATCCTTCCATCTCATCATTCTCTCAGCATTTACAACCTAATACCTAGGAAACAGTTTGAACACAAACAAGGCTGTGAATCGCCGATTGCTTTGGTCACAAACCCTCAGAATTCAGGTTCTCTTGATTTTGTTGCAATTTAGTCACCAACTAGTCTCCACCAGTCCCAGCCAAGTGAAGTCCCAGCTTTAGAGCCTAAAATGAGAAGCTCTGGCCTGTTGTATTTACTGTCTTTACTGCATGTATGTGTCAGTAGAGTAGAGGGTTGTGATTCACTGCTGGTTTTAGATTTAAATGTTTGTTTGTTTGTTTGTTTTTTGCTGCTTTGTTTACATCAATGCAAACAGCTAAAAGGTTGCTTGTTGGTTGCAAACAAACATTCTGATCTTTCCACAATGCTTTGATTTGACAGCTTTTTTCACAGGTGTGTTGTTACACATCTCACCTCGTTTAGCTGCTGTGGTGAGGGATTCAACATGCGACAGGGCAGACATTTCCGTCATCCGGCTGGAGCTTGTGGAAACCACTGACTCAGCCATCATGGCAGAAATGTTAGTTGCAGACATGCTCTCAAAAGAATAATGGCCGACCGCAGAGCGGGAAGCGCTGCTGTAGCTGCCGGCCTCCGTACGAACCGAGGAGGCCGAGAATTGTTTCTGCATGCTCACAGCAGCATCAGTAAGAGCTCTGTCGTCCGCTTTTATCATTTTTCTTGGTTCCTCAACAAGTGCTGTGAAAATGCAAACAACAAGCAAAAAGCTCAGACCATAAAGTGCAGAAAGAAGATCCATCTGTACGAACAAGCTGGGGGAGCCAAAGTGCCTTGATCTCCATTTCAAATAAAAGTCTCAGCCTTGATGTGGAGTCCAAGTGTTTTTCATGACAGATTTGATCATGCAGACCAGTAAAACGCCCTGTGAACTCAGTGCATTGAACTGTGTTAGTGGAAAACAAGAGCTAACTTACTGAAGACGTTGAGGGATGAAGTTGCAGAGCACGTTCCAAACTGGTTCCTGGCTGTTATTGTGTATTTTCCAATGTCTGCAACTGTGGCTTCACATATTTCCAGAGTGTAGAAGTTCTTGGAGCGACTCAGTCTAATGTTTGGTGTGACAGAAATCTGCAAAAAGAGTTGCTTATTGACAACATCTGCAAATTACAGTTTGTTCTGACAACAAAACAACATGAAGGAAACAAARCTACTCACAAGTATGTTGTCCTTTAACCACTCCACTTCAGGGGAAGGCTCTCCTGTAATTTCACAGGTAAATGTAACCTTTTCTCCCTCTGTAACATTCTGGGACTTGGGCTGCACCAGGAAGTGTGGTGCTTCTGAGTGCTTGGCTGTGATTTTGGTGTTGAAGTGACACTGAACCGGGCCCTGCTCTGTTTCAGCCTCACAGGTGATTGTCCCCTGTTCCTGCTGGCTGACACACCTGATGGTCAGTGTCTGATCATTTCCAGACACTCCATATCTGTACTGCTCCGAGTTGGATAGTTCCATCCCATTCAGGATCCATCTGATGCAGAAGGCCCCTGGAATGTTGGCCCTCAGAGTCAGAGCTTGTCCCTCTGAAATCGACATCAGGCTTTGTGAAGATTTCACCTCCTTCACAAAAGATTTGGTTTCCTTTTTCAGAACTTCCTCTGAGATCGTTTTGGAGCTCCTTAAGTCTAAAACAAAAATATGTTCACCTTATTGCAAGAAACAGAACACTTATAGCTGCAGATTTCTATGAAAGCTTTGTTTTATTTTACCTGGTACAGTGACTGTGCAGGTGGATTCTGCTGCACCAGCAGTGTTGCTAACGGTGCACTTGTACACCCCACTATCAGAGATAGCTGATTCACAGATCTCTAGATGAGCTGAACTTCCATCCTCAAACATTTTATACTTCCCGCCTTGAGACAGAACCTAACCATCAAGACAATATAAATGTTATGTCATGTCACATTTCACTTCAGATTTTAAGTGAGAGGGTTGTATGAAAAACAGAATACTGTGAGGATTTCAAAGTGTTACCTTTCCATTCTTCATCCAGGAGATTGCAGGTTTAGGCTCTCCCATCACCTTTACAGACAGTTTAATGATGGAGTCAGGAGGTGCAGTGATGTCACTCAGTCCACCTGAGAAGGATGGCTTTGTTTTAGGAGGTGGTGACATCACTCTCTTTGGGGACTTGAATGGAGAGATCACTTGTTCCCTTTCAGATGAAGTTGGGGATTTGGGAGTAGGGGATTTTGGCGTAGGAGATTTAGGTGTTGGGGATTTAGGTGAGACTGGGGACTTTACTCTTTGAGGTGACTTGACTGGTTCAGGAGACTTAATTCTCTGAGGAGATTTGACTGGTTCAGGAGACTTGGCAAGAGGTGACTTAGCCTCTGGAGAAGTAACTCTGGGAGAGGCAACTATTTCTTCCTTTGGTTCAGACTTTTTGATTGTTAAAGTGAAATGGGCTTCCTGTTTTCCCCCAGAGTTTTCTACCAGTAGTGTGTAGCTTCCTTCATCAGACTTGTCAACAGCAGAGATCTCAAAGCTGGAGTTGTACTGAGTAGAGACAATGTGGTGACGGGCAGAGGGACCAACAACTTCTCCTTCATGTAGCCAGTTGATAGAGGGGGCTGGATCACCATCAACATCACATGCAAACCTGGCATTGTTGCCTTCCTCCACGGTCAAAGATTGTGGTTTGGTTACAATTGTGGCAGGAACACATGGCTTCTCTTTTGGCTTCTCAACAACAGTGGCACTCTCTTTCACAGTTTCAGTGACAACTTTCTCTTCACTTGTTTTAGAAGATGAAACATGGTAAACTTCTGTTCGGGTCATCTCTGGTAGATGGGCCGATGGAGGTTCCTCGTCTTTGCGGAGGGATGAGAAAACAGCATATTCCTCACCTGTTACATCCAATGTAGCATAGTCAGAAGTTTCTCCTTTGCTGTTCTTACAGAACACACGGTAGGTACCAGAATCTTCAGTCTCACAGCTGTTGATCTGGAGAGTTAGAACACCACTGATGTTGGTCATGTGGTATTTGCTGCTCTGATGAATCTCATCCCCATTGTGGAACCAGGTGATCTCAGGCTCAGGTTTAGCTTGGATATTCAGGGTAAACCTTGTGTTGGAGCCATAGGGAACACGATGAGAACGCATCCTGATGGTAATACGTGGGGAGTGGTCAAGGCTAAAGGGAACCTGTGTCACCACCTCAACTGTCTTCTCTACAGATTTTCTCTCAGATATGAGAGTCTTTTTTCTCTCTTCATACCTGGATAAATAGTCCACTTTAGGAAACGTAACATCTGTTTTCAAGGTCTTTTCGAAGGTAGGAGATTTTCTTACTGCTGGTTCAGGTAAAGGAAGTTTTTTGATTGGTTTAGGTACATATTCTGATGTAAAAGTAGTCAGATGCTCAGATTCAGTGGTCTCAGAGAAGGCTGAAACTGTAACATCTGTTTCCTTTTTGGCAGTTCGTGTCTTCTCCTCAAATTCCAACCGTTTCAGCTGACTCTTGTAAGATGAGATTCTCTCCGTAGTCGTATGAGGGCGCAGCAGTTCCAGATCTTCTCTCTCTTCGTAGACTTTTTGTTTCTGCCTTGGAGGTGTGTAAGTGGCTTTGTCATGTCGCTGGCGAAGGTCAACAAAGCTTGGGCCAGCTTCATATTTAGATGGAATTCTGTAGGAGTCGTATCTTTTAACCTCTTCTCCTTCCTCCTCCTCACTATAAATCTTCCTTGGAGAGGAGGAACGTAAGGCAGGCAGCTCAAAGCGAACTGGGCTGAGACTTGGTGGAGAAGCAGAGTAGCCTAGTTCCAGCTCCTCTTCCAGATGAAGCCTCTCCTCCTCTGTTCTCTTCATGGACAGATACTCATTCACAGGCAGCAGCAGCTCCTCATCTGAGAGATCTCCCAGAGACCTCCTCCTGATTCTGCGATAGGAATCTGTCTCAGGAGAAGGAGTGCGATATCTTGCAGGCCTCACAGTCTCTAAGTCATCTTGAGTCAGGGATGAGAATCGCCACTTAGGCTTATACTGTTCCTTGATTCTGATGGGCACCTCATAGAACTGTTCCCACCTGGAGAGGCGAATACGTTTCATCCTCTTCTGTCGAATCTTTTCCATTGGCTCAGGGAACTCGTATTGATCCCGCAGCTTCTTGTACCATTTCATGTCCGAGAGTGGCTGAAAGTGTTTTATTTCCACATCCTCCTCAAGAACAGCAGGGTTAACGACGCGAGGTGCAGGGACAACATAAGGCATACGTAACCTCTTCTCATCTGCCCGTTTCTTCCTCTCCTCTTGTTCTTTCTTTATCTCAGCCTTAGTCTTTTCACCCTTTTTAGTTGTGACAGCAGGTTTGAACATAGTGGCTGCCTCCCTGACAGCTTCTACAGCTAAAGGTGGCAGAGGTGAAACAACGGTACCTGACAAAATCTGAGATAGTCTGACCTTTTTGTCTAATTCTTCCTGCCCGGCCAGTCCTTTCTTCTCCCTTTTGCTGGTCTCGTAGTCCTTCTTGACATGAGTTACTCTCTCTACTTTGAGTGTTGCTTGGCAACTGGCAGATCCAGCAGAGTTGGTAGCTGTGACTCTGTACACACCAGAGTCCTCAGGAAGAGTGTCTTTTACATGAAGAATATAATAGTCCAAGCCCTCATGAACAACCTCAATGGATGGTCCAAAGGCTAAGGGTGTGCCATCCTTCTCCCATTTCAGTGATGGACGACCAGAAACCCTAATCTCAAAACGGACATTCTGACCCTCCTTGCACTCAACATTTGCCAGCAACCGTTTGAACATGGGCCTCAGGGTGAGATCCGCTGGTTTAGGTCTGGGAACGACAGTAAGGCGAGCCTTGCAGATGTCGTCACCGTACCTGTTGCGGGCCACAACACTATACTCAGCATCATCTTCTTTTTCCAGGTTGTGGATAATCAATTGGTACAAGCCCTTGTCACTTATGAAGGTGTATTTCCTGTCATCTTGTCCAGGGATGAGCTTTTGCCCAGACTTGTGCCAGATGACACGAGGCTCGGGGTGAACAGTGATTGTGACACCAAAACGTACATCCTCACCAAGATAAGCAGTGCGATTGACTAGAGGGAGCGTGAACTCTGGTGGCTTCTGAAGCATTCTGGCTGTATCAACTCTGCGCTTTGTTCTCCTTACCACACGGGTGGTAAAGAAGTCACGGTAAGATCTAACGCCTCTGACAAACAGCTCAGCATAGGAGCTGTCCTCACCATATTCATTTACAACCTTGCATCTGTAAGTACCATCATCTGCTCTTGTGACCTTGTTGATGGTTATTACAGCTAGACCATCCTCGTATTCAATTTCATATTTGTCTCCAGCTTCAAGTTGCCTGACACCACAGTACCATGTGACTTCAGTGGTGCTGTCATAGTTTTCAATGTTACAGATGAACTTCACATTGTCTCCCTCAGTCAACACTGCATGGTTAATCTGACCTGCCAGAGGACCATGTTCAAATGGAGCAATCTTTACCTTGGACACAAAGACTCCACGCTGGGACCTGATTGAACCGCCACTAGCGACACGTGCTGCAGAGACAACAGTGCTCCATTCTTTCCTGACCATTGCTTGATAGTATCTCTTGTGCCTGCCGGCTGGGATTGCTCTGGCACTGATCTCTTCAGCAGGTTTTGTAAGCCAAGGATGCGCCAAAGCTTCAGCTGCTCTCATACGATGCTTGCGTTCTTTTGTCATTAGACGATCTGTGAAGTCTAAGGCTTCTACACTGACTTGCTTGAAGCACTCATCATCATAGCTGTAGACTGCATTTGATATATTATCAATCATTTGTTGGTTGGTTTCAGCTGTGAATGGATTAAGTCCACTAAGGAGTACATAGGTAAGAACACCAACGGACCACATATCAGTGACTGTGCTAACCATGTCACACTGGTGAATCTCGGGAGCAGCATATTCTGCAGTGGTGTACTGAATCTTGATCTGTTCTCCAGGAGTTAGGTGCCTGGACTGCCCCAACTCAATAATTTTTACAGTGGAGCTGGTTCTAGTTGTGTACACAATGTTCTCAGGTCTAATATCAAGGTGTCCATACCTCTCAGAATGCAAAAACTCCAGGGCTGAGCACACCTGCCTGATATAGTTTGCAATCTCACGCTCACTGAGCTCAAACTCTGCTGTATTAAGACGCTCGAAAATGTCATGACCAGAGATGAAGTCATAGATCATCACCAACTCCTCAGGGCTTTCAAAGGATTCATGAAGGAGGAGGAAGTTAGCATGTCTGGCTAAGTTCAGTGTTGCTATTTCTTTCTTTATTATTGCCTGATCAGCACCTCTCACTTTGACAAATTTAGCCATGTAAGTTTTCTCAGAGCTGATGTCAACACAGCGGTGGACAATGCCAAATTGTCCTCTGCCCAATTCTTCTGCGATGGAGTATTTGTTATGCATGTTCTTGGTGTCAGAATGTTGAGCTTTGCCTTTGGGAACTCGTTCAGTGTCATCAACCTCCCTGTCATAAAGCAGAACCCTAGATTTGTCTTCTTTGGTCATGACAGGCCCACTGCTCTCTGATGGGGCACTATGTCCAAACTTGTTCTCAGCAATGATTCTAAATTGGTAGCTTGTTCCTCCAAACAAATTAATAACAGTGTAGTGGGTGTCACGGGACTGAGCAACACGTTCCCACCTCTCAGCTGTGGTTGGACACTTTTCAATGATGTAACTTATGACCCTGCTGCCACCATCATTTGCTGGGGCCACCCAGTTCAGTGTGACTGAGTCTCTGGAGATGTCACTGGCTTTGACACCACGTGGTGGATCAGGCACATCAGCAACATCCAGTTCTACTGTTTGCTGGTCAATGCCAAATCTGTTCTTGGCACAGACAATGTAGAAACCGGCATCTTTCTTATCTACTCCATTGGGGAACACCAGCGAAGTGAAGGATCTGGTGACGATCACCTGGTAGTGGCCATTGCTGTCAATGAGATCTTGTCCCTTCTGCCATGTGATGACTGGATCTGGTTTACCACTGAAAGGGATCTTGATATTGACTACTTCCCCACGCAGGGCAGGGATGGCTTCTTTGTCCTTTAGATTCTTTGGTAAGTGGATCTTGGCAGGGACTAAGAAGAGAAATAAAAGCRTTTTAGTAAATTGACATGCTTTATATAGATAAAAAATTAACGTTTGGTGGAGAAATTGAGTATTTATTAGCTTACTTTCAACATCCAGAGAGACTGTAGCACATATAGAGCCCCCTTGGTTGGTGGCCCTGATCTGGTAAACAGTGGAGTCCTCCTCATCAGCTTCAGTGATGACCAGCTGGTGGTATCCTCCCTTAAATTCCTGGATCTTGATCTTCTTTCCATCTGATTGAATCTCCTTTCCCCTTCTGAACCATTTAATCACAGGCTTAGGCTGTCCTGTGATCTTGCAAACCAGGGTAGCATTGCTCTTGTACTTGACACTCATGTTCCTCAGCTCTTCCTTGAAGGCAGGAGCACGGACTTCCACTGCTGTGGCTGGAATGATAGGACTGGTCTCCTCACTGTAGTCGCTTTCTCCTCCAAGGTTTTCACACTTGACACGGAAGATGTATTCAGTGCCCTCAGTGAGGTGCTTGACCGAAAAGACAGTTTGTTTGATCTCATCTGTAGTCACTGGAGTCCAGTCTGCCCATTCTTTTCTATCCTTCTTGTGCTTCTTCTCAAGGCAGTAGCTTTTGATCTTAGAGCCACCATCACTGAGTGGAGGTTTCCAGGAAACCACACAGGAGTCCTTTGTGATTCCAGAAACGACTGGCGACAAAGGTGGTGATGGTCTCTCTGTGGACATGAATATTTAAAAACAAAGGTATTGTCAACGCTTATGCTTAATACATTAAGCTTTCACTTCTTTGCTTCTGTTCTAAAACACCATCTTAACATTGTACCTACCCAGCTGGCTTTTGATTAGGATAGGTGAAGTGAGCTCCAGTGGCTCACTGCTGCCATAGCGATTCTGAGCATACACACGGAAGAAGTAACCAGCGCTGTCAATGAGGTTGGGCACACGGCATGATGTGCTGTTTATGGATGAAGAGACCAGTTCCCACTCAGTGCCCTCTGCATCTTCTCGCTTCTCCACAATGTAGTTGGTGATCATGCAGCCTCCATCATCCTTGGGAGGTTTCCAGCTGATGATGACAGAGTTCTTGAGCAGGGCATCCAGGACAATGGGTCCCTGAGGTATATCAGGTTTGTCTGAGAACAAAGATACATTATGTTGTTACAAATCTGATAACGTTAATTTTAGCAAGTAAGTAAAAAAGTAATTTTCACAACATACCGTAGATTTCAACATTGAATGCAGTGTCAGCCCTGCCAAAGTGATTGTGCAGTCTAACTCTGTATTTTCCTCCATGCACTCTGCGCTGGACATTCTTGATAACCAGGTGAGTGTAATGCTCTGTGGTCTCAATGTTAATGTCTTCTGTGTTCTCTAGTGTTTTGGCCCCTTGTAACCACATGATCTTTGGCTGGGGACGACCAATGTAAGCAGCATGGATGCGGAGAGTAGTTCCAAGACCAGCATAGTATGTTTCTTTCAGTGGATAATCAGGATGGAAGGATGGAGGAGCCTCCAACACTAGAACACCAGTGGCCTCAGCCTCTCCTGCATCATTAATAGCTTTGCAGGTGTATTCTCCCTCATCCTCTTGCTGATCAGTCATAATAGACAGAGAGTGGTTGCGGCCATCAGAGCTCATCTCGTACTTGCGGGACTCAACAATCTCCTTGCCGTCATGATACCACTTAATTTCAGGTACAGGTCGACCAACAATCTGACATTTCATGACAGCAGGTTGACCAAGCTTGGCTGTAACTTCATCCATTTCCTTTCTCAAGCTTGGTTTGCTTTCAGCTGTTGGTTCAAAACATGATCGTCTTAATAAAGCATATAACATCATCTGTTTTAGTAAACAATAAATTTGATTGTACTCACCCATCAGTTTAGTCTTGATGCATGTGGCAGTCCTACGAGGTCTGCTTATTCCAGTTTCATTCTCAGCAAACACCCTGAACTCATATTCTGTTGCCTCAGCCAGACCTGGCATGGTGAATTCCTTTTCTTTTAGTCTCTCCTTGTTGCACTTCTTCCATGTGCTCTCAATTGATTTTCTGTACTCTACCCAGTAGCCTAGAACCTCCTTTCCACCATCACACTCTGGAGCTTGCCAGTGAATGGTAATAAAGTTGTTACTCACATTCACAGTGTCAATCTCACCTGGCTGGCTGGGTTTGTCTGCAAGAAAGAACATAAAAAGTCAAAACTACTTTTTAAAATGTTGTCTATTTTACATCTAAAGTCATCGTCAGTTAAACTAAAGAATAAACTATACTTCAGTTTAGTACCTCTGAAGATGGTCTATGTAACAGTAAGATTAGACTTTTAGAGTTACTGTAAAATATTATTTGTACAATGCCCATTCAAGTTCCATAAGCTATAATGATTACAGCAGGGCACTCACCAAATGGATCTTTGCATGTGACAGGATCAGATGCAGGACCAGCCTGGCTTTCACCTATATTGTTGACAGCAACAATGCAGAACTGGTAGTCTGTATCAGGAGTTAGTCCATGCAGAGTAAACATGGTAGAGGTGATCTTGGTCTCATGGCGTGACCATGTCTCAACAGACACAGCCTTGTACTCAACAAAATAGCCAGTGATGGCAGAACCACCATCGTCCTTAGGTCTGGACCAGGCCAGTGCCACTGAACTCTTGGTTACATCCATGATCTCAGGTGGAGCCGTTGAAGGCTCAGGTGGACCTGGTTTAAAAAGCAGATAAATTCTTTTAAGCATAGATAAATGACTCAAACTTTTGCATACTGTCTTTGAAATTTAAATACTTACAGAGGGGAGTCTTGGGTACCAGTGGCTGCTCAGATTTTAGAGATCCACTAATACCAAAGGAATTTTCAGCTGTGACTTTGAAGTGGTACTCTGTTCCCTCTTTTAGGCCCTTAACAATGAGTTGAGTCTCAGTCACTCTAGAGTCCACAGTGTACCAGGCATTTCTGGCTGTTTCACGTCTTTCTACAATGTAGCCAAGGATCTCTGAGCCACCATCATTGGTAGGTGGCTTCCATGAAACCTTGACAGAATTGGCTTGAATTTCTTCGAAGACCATTGGTCCCTCTGGAGCACTTGGGCGGCCAATGACCTTGACTTTAATTTGTGCTTTCTTCTTGCCAACCTTATTCTCTAGCAGGAGCTCATACAGACCAGACTCACTTCTTTCTGCTCCTTTGATCACCAGCTCACTGGCATCCTCCGTGGAGGCAATCATGGCTCTGGTGGAGACTGCACCACCATCCTTCAACCACTTGCAGGTTGGAAGGGGTTTTCCTTTAATGGGTACAGACAGTCTAACCACTCCTCCATGACGAACCACATACAGGTCTTTGTATTTCAGCTCCAGGTCATAGTCAGGAGGTTCTGAAAATTTAATGAAAAAGTCAGTACAAGTTTTAACTGCATGCTCTTGATTTTTATACAAATAGATTTTGTGGTTCTTTACCAAGCATCTCTGTGACTTTGACTGTTCCAGGTACTTCAGCAGGTTCTCCAGGCCCACCAGCATTGCATGCCATCACATGGAATTTGAACTCTTCTCCTTGAGGCATGTTGGTCAGCGTGTACTCACAGATCAGAGACGGTGTTGTGTTGCACTTGTTCCAGACCAGTGTGCCCACCTTCTGCATCTCAATTAGATACCCATCCACCCTGGCATCTCCTTCATCATCAGGAGGATTCCAGGCCAGTGATACAGAGGACTTGGTAGTATCTGTGATTCTTGGGTTCTGAGGACAACCAGGAGGATCTGCACAAAAATAAAGTAGCATGTCTGCAATTCTAGCTACTACTTTWATATGCTACGTAACCATTCTGAATTGTACAGCTTTATCTTTATCCTATTTTTCTTCAATCAATGTTTTCCCTTACCAATGGGATCTGTTGCTACTGCTGGTTTGGATGGCAGACTTGGTTTGCTCAGTCCTCTTGAATTAATGGCAGTGATTCTGTGTTCATACTCCAACCCTTCAATCAGCCCAGTTGATCTATATCTGGTCATGGTCACAGGGTTCTTGTTGGCACGTACCCATCGGTCAGCTCTTACTTCTTTGCGTTCAATAATATATCCAGAAACTTCAAGACCACCATCTTCATCTGGCGGTTCCCAGGCCACGGTCATTCCATCACGAGATACATCAAAGGTGATTGGACGACCCGGAGGTCCAGGCACATCTGTGGAGAAGGTAAATCATGTAATCATACTGCTATTGTCATAGGGMCCTGTATTGAACTAAAAGAGGTGCAACATTAATTGAGGCCAAAGGTCTTACTCTTCAGGCTCCTACAAGTGACAATCTCAGACTGCAGGAACTCTCCTGTGCCATAGCGATTTGTAGCAGCTGCACGGAAGACATACTCATCTCCCTCAATTAGGTTGTCAAACCTGAACATTGGTCGGCTAACAGAGTCACAGACAGGCACCCAGCCAGGTCTGTGAGCATCACGTTGTTCAACTACATAACCACTGATGGGAGCTCCACCATCTCTGACTGGAGGATCCCAGCTGCAGGTGACCGTCGTGGCATCGATCTCATCAAACCTGATGGGTCCCTTTGGCTCATCAGGTTTAGCTGGTAAGAACAAAGAAACAAATGATTGTTACAGATTGTGCAGCTCTGTGCCATCCAGGCTGTGAGGATTAAAACTATGAAGTTTTACAGACATCATCTGTTTATGGACAGATCCATTACTAAAAGATAAATATTAGTGACATAAATGTTATAGATTATTTGTAATACTATCGATAGTGACACAGCTTAAATGGATGTAAAAACTGACAGAAAGCTTCTTACAGAGGATGACGGCCTTTATGACCTCGGTGATGACTCCAACAGCGTTTTTCACTTCCAGAGTGTAGTCACCACTGTCATCAATGGTGGTGTCAGACACAGTCAGTTTGGAGAACTTGCTAGTGCTCTTGATCTTCACACGGTCTGTGATTTTTACCCTTTTGTCACCAAAGTACCAGGCACAGACGGGAGGAGGTCTGCCAATRATCGGCAGGTTCACTTCCAAGGTCTTACCCGCTAGAACATTGACAACCTTCTGAGGAATACTGGTCAAATCCACTGCAGGCATCACTGAAAGAGAAAAAAAGAGGTAAACCATTGATGTTAAATTTAACTCTACATTATTTCAAATTAGATTTTCACAAGTAGTACATCTTAGTTTTATTGGGTACCTCTTTGTTCTTGTACAGTGATGGCAGCAACAAGCTCTTTGGGCTCGCTGGCTCCTCTGCTGTTGATGGCTTTGATTCTAAACAAGTACTGCTCTTTCTCATTCAGCTTTTCAATAGTGTGCTCAAAGTCTGTCAGTTTCAGTGTAGCCACCTTCATCCACTTGTCAGTGCCAAACTTGCATGCTTCAATAATGTAGGCGGTCAGCCTGCTACCACCATCGTGCTCTGGCTTTTCCCAGCCCAGGGTGACTGTGCTCTTCGTCACATCAATCACCTCCAGCTTGTGTGGTGGAAGAGGCACCTCACAAACCAGGACAACGTCTGGAGTCTCACGGGGCTCACCAACACCGTAAATGTTTTCAGGGAGGACACGGAAGTAATACAGCATGCCCTCCATCAGACCATCAATCTTGTATGATGTTTTGCTGCACTTGGATGTGACAGTCTTGTAGGCTCTCATGGAAGCTTCTCGCCTTTCAATGATGTAGTTGTTAACAGGGGCGCCACCATCCACAGTTGGGGCTTCCCAAGAGATAGTGGCAGTGTCTTTTGTGAGCTCTTTGATCTTGATTGGCCCTGTTGGTCCAGGTGTATCTAAGAATAGAATAAATATTGCAGTCAAAATACAAATATTAAAATACATTTTTTAATAACAACTTAGCAAAGAACTGCACATTTTCTCAGCAGTTCTCCCAGGTTCTTCCATCAACTCACCATAGACCTTGACAAGAATATTGACTTCTTGTTTTCCAGCAGAGTTCTCAGCCACCAGAGTGTATTTGCCAGCATCGTAACGGTGGACCTTGTCAATGATGAGGGTGGTGGATGTGTTGGTAACCTCGATGAAGCCTCTGTTTTGGAGATCAACACCAGGTTTGGTCCAAGAGATTGTAGGAGCAGGACGGCCAGTAATRTTAACAAACAGACGAAGGGAGCCCCCAGCACGCAGACAGATGGTCTTTTTGAGGTCATCATGGAGTTCAAAATCAGGAGGTTCTGTTGGAGGGGTTGGGAAAATTAGTTCAAGGTTTACCCGATTAAAGAATTCAAGAATTACTGTTGGTGAATACTTGCAAACATGTTATTAGAAAAGTCACACATTTGAAGATAATGCCTTTTTAAATGTAAAAAAATGAAATGGATGTGGAAATGAAAGTACTTGCTAAACAATGTGGATTTCTGGATGTGCTCTTTATTGCTCTTACCAATTCTCTCCACTGGCTCCGTCTCAGCACATGGTTCACTGAAATCTCCTGTTCCATTGACATTAATACCAGCCACTCTGAAGCGATACTTCTTGCCTGCAGAAAGTCCAATTGCCACAAACTCTGTGGCACGCATCGTCTTTTCATGGGCCTTCTTCCATTCCTCTGTTCCAGCCTCCTGCATCTCCAAAATGTAGCCGATGACATCGGCCCCTCCATCCTCCACAGGTCGAGACCAGGCAAGGCTAATGCTCTCAGAATGGGTGTCGGTTATACGAGGAATAGATGGAGGAGCAGGAGTGCCTGAGAAAATGTGATGTAATCTTTATTTTATCTKGATATTTGTAAAGTATTTATTGATCTAAACTCATAAGTACAGTATGATACATTTGAAATCAATCTTTGAAAGTAGTATGTTATTTTGGTTGTTGACTTACTTGTCGGTACTCTGCAGACAACATAGAGTGAAACCTCACTGGGCTCACTTTCCCCAGCCTTGTTGATAGCCGTTACTCTAAACTGGTAGATATTGCCTTCAGTTAAACCAGACACCTTCAGAAGCGTGTCCAGATGAGCACCATCCCTGTTCACCTTTACCCAGCGGGCACTCTTTCTCTCACGCCTTTCTACCAGGTAATGAGTTAATGGGCTGCCACCATCACTCTCTGGCTTCAGCCACTCAATAGTAGCAAAATCTTTTCCTGATGCCAGGATCTCTGGAGCTCCAGGAGGACTGGGTTTAGCTAAAGAACAGAACAGATATGAATATTTTTTTACCTTTTATGTTTTATAGAAGTTTTGTTTAGATTAGTCCTGCCTTTGTCTATTATTAGCAGAACTCTTGTGGAATTTCAAGAAAATGTATTTATTTAACATTTAAATAGTAATGATTTGGTGTCAGTTTACAATATTTTGAAAATTTGTACTTACTGAAAGTGTTTCTGGCCACCATTGGCTGTGACTTGAGGTAAAYGCCGGCTCCATACTTATTGACTCCACAGACTCTGAACAAGTACTCTGTGTTCTTGAACAGACCAGTGATGTTGCATGTCAGTTCCTTGCACTCTGCATGCATGATTACCCAGTTGAGTCTGTTAGTGTCACGCCTCTCTACAATGTAGTGAGTGACCTCATCGCCACCGTCCTCCAGAGGAGGTTTCCAGCTCAGTGTGCATGACTCCTCTGTTATCTTGGTGATCTCAATGCTGCCTTCACACACTCCAGGTGTGTCTGAACAGAAAGAGGACAAGGTCAAAGTTCTTCCACTCTGTTTAATTGCATTTTATTTCACAGTAAAATCAATGAATCAAAGGCTTACTTACCAAGCACTTTCACATTGACTTCTGCAGTCTTTGTTCCACTTACGTTCCTGACTGTCAGAATGTATTTTCCAGTGTCATCTCGGTCACAGAATTTGATGATGGCCATAGCCCTGTGGGGAGTGTACTGCAGGTGGTATTTCTCACACAAATCCAGCTCCCTGTTGCCCTTGGACCAGAAAGCCTTGGGGTCAGGTCTACCTCCCACTGCAGCATCCAGAACCAGATCTGAACCAGCTCTGACCATTACTGTTTCAGACAGAAGCTTGCTGTCTAGCTGGGCTTTTGGAGGCTCTGTTAAATGTACACAAATGAGATGGTTATCAGATGCTGCTAAAAATATTTCACACGTTCATGTGAATGAATACATATCAATTTTATTTTTTCCATATCTAAAACTGTGCTAAAAAGGGTACAGAATTTAAAAAGCTTACCAAAGTCAGTCTTGCACTGCACGGATCCTGTGGATTCAGATGGTGTGCTAAAGACCTGGTTTCCGTTCTTGGCAATGACCCTGAACTCATAGGCCTCTCCCTCTCCCAAAGCCGTAACAGTGTAGAAGTTGTCTGTCACATTGGTATAGTTACACTTGAGCCAGCGACCCTCACCTGTCAGAGTGTATGGCTTACGCTCAATGATGTAGCCCACAACGGGACTGCCACCATCATTCAATGGAGCTGACCATTTCAGGGAGACAGTGGTTCTGGTAACATTTGTGACTTCAGGTTTACTGGGTGGATCTGAACACAGCACAACACAAAAGATGTTTTTCAACATGTTTTCTACAGATAAATGAGGAGAACATTCTGTTATGTGACACTGAACCATCTCAGAACTCACCAACTGGGTTTTGAGCAACTACTCCCTTGGAGGCTTCACTGGCTTTGCTGAGTCCAGCACTGTTCATGGCATAAACCCTAAACTGGTACTCTAGGCCTTCAACCAAGCCTTCTGCCTGGTAGTAGCACTCAAAGCATGGGATCTTATTTTCCCTAACCCACAATATATTGTTCCTCTCCTTCTTCTCAATCCAGTAGCCTGTCACCTTGCTTCCACCATCATGGTAGGGCTCCTCCCATTTTAGGGTTATTGAGTTTGCTGTGACATTAAAGACTGAGGGTCTCGTTGGAGGGCCTGGAGGTGCTGTGATGAAAATTGACATTTTATTATTACAATATGGTTCAACATAAAGTTCTTTTTTAATATTGATTCATACTAATAACACATGGGTTTAATAGTAAAAATAAGTTGAGGTTAACAGAGAAACACTCACAGAAAGGATGCTCTGCAACTATCGTCTCAGACTCTGTGGGCTTGCTGACTCCGAACCTGTTCTCAGCAGAAACTCTGAATGTGTACTGCATGTATTTGGTCAGGTGACTAACATGAAGAGATGTGCGCTTCACACTGGAGTTGATCAGCTGCCAAGCTGTAGAACCAGACTCACGCTTTTCCACAATGTAGTTGGTGATGTCAGTGCCACCATCATCTTCAGGTGGTTGCCAGTTAACAACACAAGACTCAGAAGTGATGGATGATATTTCAATGGGTCCAGCTGGAGGACTGGGTCTGCCTGTGACATTAACTTCAACAGTGAATGTCTTGGTTCCAGCAACATTTTCTAGAGTCAGGTAATATTTACCCCCATCTCCTCTCATGGACTCCTTGACAGAGATACTGGCTCTATCCTTTGTTACTTTGATGGTGACTCTGTCTGAGTTCTTAAGTCTCATTTCCTCCAACTTCCAGGTGACTTTAGGAGCAGGTCTACCACTAATAGGAACATCAATGGTGAAGGTGCTACCAGATCTGCATGTCACAAGCTGGTTGGCTATTTCACTGAGGTCAGCAGTAGGTTCAATATGAGGTTCTTTGACCAGGACAGGAGCTAGAGTTTCCTTGGGCATGCTGTAGCCAGATTCATTTTTAGCCTTAACACGGAAGTCATATTCATCACCCTTATTAAGCTTTTCAACAACATAGCTAAGATTCTTAGTGTTACCAATTACTATCCATTTGTCTGCACCCTTTGGCCTAGCCTCAATGACATAACTTTGGATGCGACTGCCTCCATCATGCTCTGGCTTCAGCCAGCCCAGGAACACAGAGTTGTCTGTGGTATCCAGGACATCCAGTCTTTTTGGAGATGCTGGCTCTGCAGTGGCCACAACTGGTTCAGTAAGCTCAAATGCCTCACCCATGCCATGCTGGTTTTCAGCTGAGACTCTGAAGAAATATGGCACTCCCTCCAGGAGGTCTTGTATCTTGAGGATACACTGTGTGCACTTTCCACCAGATTGCTGCCAAGTGCGGCGGCTAGCCTCACGCCTTTCAACAATAAAGTGGTGAATTCGAGCTCCACCATCGTTGACAGGTGGTTTCCAAGTAAGCGTGACTGAGCCTCGGCAGACTTCTTTGAAAGTAACAGCCTGTGGCGGTCCAGGAGTGTCCAACACTTTCACCACAAATGTAATGGCTTTACTGCCACTGGCATTTTCCAGGTTAACGGTGTATTTTCCTGTGTCATATCTTGTGCAGTTTTCAATACTTAAAGAGCTGTAACCATCAGTAGTTGAAATCTCTGACATTACACTCAGATCTCCTTCCTCCTTCACCCAGGTAACAGCAGGAATGGGTTTTCCTCTGAAATGGATGCCCAAACACACAGAACCTCCAGCCTTGACAATGTGTGTCTGCTTGAAGGTGGCATCAATATCCACCTGTGGTGGTGTTAACCTGTCAACAGCCTCTGTAGGTTCCATGATCTCCTTGTGTTCACCTTTTCCTATGTGATTGACAGCAGCAACACGGAACTTGTACATTGCTCCTGTCTGTAGACCGGATACTGTATAATTTGTTTCAACCACAAGCTCCTCATTTGCTCTCTTCCATTCAGTTTCTTCTCCCTTCACCATCTCAATAATATATCCAAGAATTTCCATACCTCCATTGTCCACAGGCCTGCTCCATTCCAAGCTAATGGAGGTGTTTGTGGAGTCTGACACACAGACCACAGATGGAGCACATGGAATATCTTTAGGTTCAGCAGCCTTGATAGGCAAAGAGATGTTGCTTGGGGCACCAACACCTGCATCATTGACAGCCATGACACGGAACTCATATTCCATATCTTCTGTCAGGTTAAGCACCTTGTGAGCACATTCAATGATAGGCTTCTTGGTAATCACTTTGTAGAAACGAACAGTTTTCTTTTCTCGTTTCTCTATGATGTAATACTGAATGGGGTTTCCCCCATCAGATGATGGAGGAGTCCATGCCAGGGTGATACTCTCTCCTGACACTTCAGTGGCATCAGGAGTTCCTGGAGCATCAGGAGTTGCTGAAAAAAAACACAAATTTTGTTAGCTTATTGCAAAATTAAACAGAACATAAAAATCCAAATATTGTTTACATATTGTGCATTTAAAAAGTAGTATATATGTCACACTTACTATATTGCATCTGTGCAATAATAGGGCTTGACTCCAAAGGCCTGCTAACTCCAAACTTGTTAACTGCAGAGACCCTAAACTGGTACTCATTGGTCTTGATGAGTTTGGTAGCATTAAAGGTACACTCCTTACATTCATCAAAWACTAAGGCCCAAGAGATCTTGGCAGTCTCTCGTTTCTCAATGACGTAATGTGAAATGTCAGAACAGCCATCATTCTCTGGTGGGTTCCAAGACAGAGTGCATTTGCCTTCTGAGATATTACTGAAAGTGACTGGTCCCACTGGCTCCCCAGGTGTATCTGCAATATATAGTTGTGTGAAATWGACATAGGAACGGGTAAATAAAAGGTAAAATTATAAAAAAGGGTCATAAATAACCATATTAGAGCACACAAAGAAAAACATCTTAAACTGCATACCTTGGACTTGGACGAGGATGCTCTCCTTCTTAGTTCCTGAACCATTTGTAGCTTCTACAGTGTAGAGGCCCCGGTGTGTGCGATCAGCATCTCTGACAGCTACAGTACTGGATCCAGGAACAGTGATGATGTCCATCATTTTTTTGGTAATCACTACACCATCTCTGTACCATACAACCTTGGGAACGGGGCGCCCAGTGATGGTCACCTTCAGCCAGATGTTGTCTCCTGCTTTTACTGTCAAACCTTCAAAGTATTCTGGACCAAACTCAATATTTGGTGCAGCTGTTTTAAGAAAAGGGACATTTGGTTTGAGAATGACTAAAAKATGTCAAAAGAAAAAAGGCCTTTACTACATATAATTAAGTTCTGTGAGTTAAAGTAATAGCTTTTATGTTTTGTTGTTACTCACCATTTTCACTTCTGACTGCAATTAATCCAGAGGAGTTAGAAGGRGGACTAACAACACCAATGGCATTTCTAGCAATGACTCTGAACTCATAGCGTTCATTTGTTGCCAGTCCTGTTACAGTGTGATGACAGTCATGCACATCGGTAAGGTTGGCCTTGAACCAGCGACCGTKCCCTTGACGTTTCTCAATGTTGTAACTAGTGATCTTACTACCACCATCACGTTTAGGTGCATCCCATTTCAGTGTCACTGAGTCGCTRGTTACATCAGTGTAGTCAGGCTGTCCAGGAGGATCTGAGAGATATGACATTTTTAGTTAGACTTTAAAACAAACACATACTTAGTACAGGTAGGGAAGTTTTTACAACAGTTAAATGTAGTTGTCTGAACCAGGACTTACCAACAGGACTGACAGCCATTGTTGTCTTGCTCTCATCACTCATTCGGCTGAAGCCAGCATCATTCTGAGCATAGACTCTGAAGGTGTACTCAAGGCCTTCAATGAGCTCCAGAATCCTGTAATCCATTTCTTTTATCAACACCGTGTTCACTTTTTGCCACATGATGCTGTTCTTTTCCTTCTTCTCCACATGGTATCCCTGGATCGGGGTTCCACCATCATAGATGGGTTTTTCCCACTGGATTGTCATACCATCGTTGGTAACATTGTAAACAATTGGCTTGCCTGGTGGGCCCGGAGGTCTAAATTGGTGCTTGGCAATAACCATCTGTGAAACCAGAGGCTCACTGACACCATACCTGTTTTCAGCACATACTCTGAACTGGTATTGSACACCCTTAATCAAGTTAGGGACCCTGAACTGAGTTCCTTCTACACTGGAGCACGCCATCTTCCAGTCAGTCTTTGAGGTATCTCGTTTCTCCACAGTGTAGCAGCTGATATCTCCACCACCATCATCATTAGGTTCATCCCAGGAGATCATGATGTTCTCAGCTCTCACTTCATCTAGGCGAATGGGTCCAACAGGCTTCGATGGTGGTCCAAGAGTAATGACATGCATGTGGAAGGATTTTCTGTTTACCTTATTATCAAGGGTCAGGGTGTATTTGCCTTCATTTTCCTTTTTCACATTTTTAATCATTAGAGTGGCTTTGTTTTCTGTTGTCTTAAAGCGCACTTGGTCACTCTCCTTCAGAGGCAAGCTGTCCTTTAACCACAGAACAGAAGGCCTGGGTTTGCCTCTGTATGGCAGCTCAATGTGGACATTATGGCCCAAACGAACACTGATGCTACCATCTGGATACTCTCTGAGGTCTGCTTCTGGAGTGATAATATAGTCAATGACCTTGATAGGTCCACTTTCAACAAAATCACCCTGGCCCTTCTCATTCCTGGCTGCAATTCTGAAAAACACTTCGGAGTGTTCCTTGAGTTTCTTGACCTCAAACTCACACTGCCTGCTTACTCCTCCCAGTGACCACTCCTCGTTCTTTAGCTTCTTCTCAATTATGTAGTCAGCGATGATACTTCCACCATCATAATCAGGCTTCAGCCACTGTAAAGTGATAGAGGTCTTAGATGAATCTTTCATTGAAATTTCCTTGACTGGTCCTGGAGTCTCTGTGGCCTTCACAGGCTCTGGTGTTTCACATGGATCACCAATACCATTCTCATTCTCRGCTAAGACACGGAAGAAGAAAGATGTCTTTTCTGAGAGATCTTCAATGGTGTATGTAGTATTAGTGCATTTGCTTGTCACTGCAGAGTAGGATCTCTTAGAGGAATCCCTTTTTTCAACGACGTAGTTTGTGATCTCAGCACCGCCATCAAGGAGTGGAGGATCCCAGCAAAGTGTGACCTTTCCTCGCGTCACATCCTTTAGAATCAGGTTCCTGCATTGAGCTGGAGTGTCCTGGACCTTCACTGACAGAGTCAGTGTCTTCGGTTCTCCCACACCATTTTCTATTTTGACTGTGTATTTTCCAGTATCAAGCCTGGTCACTTCACGCATAACGAGTACTGTGGTTATGTCTGTGTGGTGGAATTCATATTTGGGATTGCSATCGATGCATTCTTCTCCTTTGCTCCAAGAAGCTGTGGGAGCAGGTCTGCCCTTCAAAGGAACAGACAACTCTACATCTTTTCCAGCCTTTACAATGTAGTGAGTTCTCATTGCAACATCTGAGTCAATCTGGGCCTCCTCTGTGAACAGCATAACAATATACAGTGTTAAATATACAGCAAACAATAAACACATCCCGTAAACTCAATACAGTTTCATTTTTAAGTCACCTAGAATATCTTTGGCCTGCACAGGATCAATCATCTCCAGAGGCTCTCCACGGCCAGCACAATTTACAGCGGAAACTCTGAAGAAATAATTTACATCTGGTTTCAGATCATGAACTGTGTACTCTGTTGTCTTGACCTCCCCCTTAGAAGTAATCATTGTCCATTCTTTCTCTCCTTCAACAAGTTTCTCCACCATGTAGCTGATGACCTCACTGCCTCCATTCCATTGTGGTTTGGACCAACCCAAAGTAATGGATGTCTTGGTTGAGTCCACAACCTTCAATTTGCAAGGCTCATCTGGTGGATCTGTGAGTAAAATGTATTTGTTAGAAGGGGGGTGTTTTGAAATGTAGCTCTTTTGAAATCATTYCATTTTAGATGACTTACCAACTGGGTCAGCGGCCTTATAGTAATCTGATGCATCAGAGAATGGCCCCTCACCAGCTTTGTTCATGGCACAGACACGATATTGGTATTCATGTCCTTCTGTCAGGTGGTACACCATCTGTTTGACATCAGTGATAGGGTCTTTATAAACTCTGACCCAGCGCAAGCTCTTTTTATCACGTCTCTCCATGTAGTAGCCAGTCACAGGGCTGCCACCATCCACGCCTGGCTTATTCCATTCTACTAGCATGGTGGACTTGGTAATGATATTCACTTCTGGAGTATGGGGCTGACCAGGTGTTACTTAAAAAAGAAAAAGATATGTTTAGAAATGATTAAAGTCATAATGGCAGACAAAAATCATAAATGGCGTATAATACAAAAGTATTAATGTACGAATAATTTACTGAAGACCAATTAATWAAGGACTATATATAACATTCTAGAGAAAAAAAACTTACCAAAGGCATTCTTAGCGATGACTGGCTCAGACTCAAGTGGTTCTCCAACTCCAAACTTGTTAACACCCATTACACGGAATACATACTCATTTCCATGCACCAGCTTTCCAACAGAGATGTGTGTTTGCTCTTGTTTATCTGAAACTGTTGACCAGACAACTCTGCTGGTTTCACGCCTCTCAACAATATAGTGGGTCACTTTAGAACCTCCCTGGTCARACTCAGGCACAGGTTCCCAGCTAAAGATGATTCTGTCTGCTGTAATTGAGTTGAAATTAATGAGACCTGCTGGGGGTCCAGGTTTATCTATAAGAAGGGGAGAGAAAAGAAAGAAAAAGAACATAAACATTAATTAAACATGTTAGAATCTATATTAGAGATAATAGATGGTTTTAGAAACAAAATAAGTTCATTCAAATTGATTCAAAGTACCAAGAATTTCAATCCTGATAGTTGCCGATGCGGAGCCCAGAACATTTTTAATCTTAATCTCATATGAGCCTGTCTGAATACGAGTTGCATCCTTGATCAGAACAGCAGAGGAGTCCGTCGTGCTTTCAACAGACACAGTAGAAGATGTTACCAGCTCGTTTCCATCCTTAAGCCACTCGATCGTTGGCAGAGGCTTGGCAATGATTCCTACTCTGAGTTTCACTGAAGCCCCTGCCTTGTACTGAACCACATCCAGATACTCAGGAGGAAGATCAATACATGGAGCACCTGTCAGACATGAGAGTTTATCATACTAAATACATAGATACTGTAAAAGTAAGGCAGACATACAGAAAATCTAAACAGACAATTTTTGCTTACCACATGCATCAACACAGCTGACAGGGCCAGCAATAAGTGATGGGCCGCTGACTGATCCAACAGCGTTCTTTGCGTACACTCTGAACTCGTAAGATTCATCTTGGCTTAGTCCTGATACAGTGAAGCCCATCTCAATGATGTTTGAAAAGTTGGCCTTCACCCATCTGCCATTAGAAGCCTCTCTCCTCTCCACACTGTAGCCAGTAATTTTGCTGCCTCCATCGTAGGGAGGTCTCTGCCAGACCAGGCTCACAGAGTTCTTGGTGACTTCAGTGATATGGACATTTGCTGGGGGCTCTGTAACATCAATGTAAAAAAAGATTTAAGTTTACTTCCAGAAAGACTTTGTTTTTAAATGGGCTTTCAGATTTTCTGATTTTAAACTATTATTTTGTTTTGGAGGAAATAGAAATATGAAATAAAACAATTTGAGAGGTTAAACCTTCTCATTTATTTGTGAATTCTTTACTTTGTTCACATGTTTACCAAATTATGTTCCTTGAAAATCACATTTATTGCACATTATGTCTGAATAGAGAAGGGCCATGGAGGGAAACAAAAAACTTACCACAGGCATCAATGGCAAGCACCTCTTCGGATGTTTTGCTTAGCTTTCCAATGCCTGCAGCATTTTCTGCTGCCACCTTGAATTCATAGATGAGACCGGGGCAGATGTTTGTGACTCTCCACTGGTTTCCTGGKATTGCTGTCTTGTTGACTTTCTGCCAGAGGATGCTGCTCCTCTCTTTCATCTGAAGGTGATATCCTATCACAGGACTTCCACCATCATTTACTGGCTCATTCCAGCACACTGTCAGATTCTCTCTGGAAACAAAGCCAACCCATGGTGTGGATGGTGGACCTGGGATACCTTTGAGATACAGATTTCATGTTAGTGTAGGTACAAAAGACTCATCAGTCATAAAAAGTGTCATAAGAAAATGTTGACTAGGGAACATTCTGGTACATAATTGATGACTTACTGTATGGAAGTTTAATCATGACTGGCTTGCTGTCAATATGGTCGCTTACGCCGTAACGATTCTGGGCTTTGATTCTGAACTGATACTCCTCTCCCTTGGTGAGCTTGGTCACCTTGATGGCACTTCTTGCGATGCTGGTTGATACTTCGACCCAAGCAGGAGTGCTTGTTTCACGTTTCAGAACAATGTAATTTGTGACAGGACTGCCACCGTCATACTCTGGAGGAACCCATTTTAAACATACTGTGGTCTCTCCAACCTCTCCAATGTGAACTGGACCAACAGGAGGTCCGGGTCTGTCCAGCACAATGATGCTAATAAAGATCTTGGTGGTACCTCCTGCATTTGAGGCTGTGATGTCATACTTTCCAGCATCACTTGAAATGCTTTCATTTAGGGTAATGATTAAGCTGTCTGGAGTAACTTCTGTCAGAAGCCTCTTGGATCCTTTGATTACAACATTATTTTTGGATAGTGTCACCTTTGGTTTGGGCTTGCCAGTGAGAGGAATCTCAAAGGTCAGATCAGATCCAGCTTTCACATAAACTGTGTTCTTGGGATAATTCTTCAAATCAAATTCTGGAGCCTCTGTTGAAAAAATTTGGACAAGGTTATGAAGTAYGAAAATCAAACCTTTACAAGTAAATACAGCTGTTAACTTTGTCACATGACTTCCCAAAATCCATAGATTTACACTCAAACTACCATCTAAACATTTAAAATCATTGTCTGCTATTAGTAAAATTTCAACATAAAGCCAAAAATAATACCTTGTATCTCCTTAATGATGACTGGAACAATCATCTCTTTAGCTTCACTGAGTCCAGCATGATTCTCAGCACGAACCCTGAAGAAGTACTCAGCTCCTTCTCTCAGGCTCTTAATGGTGTGAGTCATGGTCCTTACAGTGGCACACTTCACCCACTTGGTCTGTCCTTTCTCTAGAGCGTCAATGAGGTAACCAGTGACTCTGCTTCCACCATCATACTCTGGTCTTGTCCATGCAATTGTAACACTGTCCTTAGTAACATTTGCTACTCCAAGTTTCATGGGTGGACTTGGTACCTCTGTAACACACAGTGAGTCATTATTGTTACATTGTAAAAAGTGTATTAAATTAGGTTTACAACTATCATAGCTCATTCAGATTATTTGTTACCTGTAATCTTTGTTCCAGCCTTTGCTTCTTGAGGCACACCCACTCCCTGCTCATTTTCTGCAATAATTCTGAAGTAATAGACAGCTCCCTCCTGCAGGTCTTCTACCTTGTAGGCCAAAGCATGGCAGTTGCTTGTCACAGATACCCAGGCTTTTTTACTTGCTTCACGTTTCTCCACATGGTACGCTTTTACTGCATCCCCTCCATCATTTTCTGGAGCCTCCCAAGTGAGAGTTGCAGAATCCCTGGTTACAGATGAAACTTTAACATTGGTTGGGGGTCCAGGGGAGTCTAGCACTTTCACTACCATGGGCAATGTTGCTTTTCCTAGTGGTGATTCAATAGTGACAATGTACTCTCCAGAGTCATATCTTGTTGACTTCTCAATAGTTAATGAAGTGCTAGATTCTGTTGATTCAATGGTTCCTCTGACTTTTAGATCAACACCCTCCTTAGTCCATTCAGCAGATGGCACAGGGTTTCCTTTGAATGGCACATTCAGGGTAAATGATGTACCATGCTTTGCAATAAGAACTTTCCGCATCTCAATGTTAACATCGAATGATGGCTCGGAAGTTCTGTCTGCTGCTGCAGCTGGATCTGAATAACGGCTACGAACACTGCATCCAACTTTGTTTATTGCCTTTACACAGAATTCATATTCTGCATCTGTCTTTAATCCAGTGATTGTGAATTCCAAGCTCTTTGAAAGAGGAATGGCCTCAATCCATCTTGCTAGTTCTTCAGGTGACTCAGTTTCCTCTTCCTCATAGTATTCCTCTTCTTCTTCAACCTCTGGCTCTCGTTTGCGTTTAAATTCTCTGTATTCTACACTATATCCTAAAATAGGTGCACCACCATCATTTGTTGGGGGCTTCCAGACAATAGACACRCTGTTTTTCGTGGAATTTACAACTTTTGGTTTGGTTGGGCGAGAAGGAACAACATGAGGATCAAGTGCTCTGAATGCTGCAGATGGGTCACTCTGAGGACTCACACCAGCTGCGTTTTCGGCATAAACTCTGAAGTCATACTCACAACCCTTTCGAAGTTTTGTCACTACAGTGGTACACTCAACAACTGCATCTCTGTTAACTCTGACCCAACGCATGTTTGTCTTTTCACGACGCTCAATCACATATCCAGTTATGGGACTCCCTCCATCGCTGACTGGTTTACACCAAGTGAGGGTCATTGAATCTCCAGTTATAGATGTTACATCAACACTAAATGGAGCAGTTGGTAATGTGTATGGGTCAGTAACTTTTATTGTCTCACTTTCAAGGGCCTCACCCAGTCCAAACTTGTTAACAGCCAAAACTCTGAAGATATACTCATTGCCTTTGAGCAGACCTGTGACTTTAAAGAAGGTTTTTGTGACATCTCCTTTAACTAATGTCCATGCCAAACGGCTCGTCTCACGCTTCTCAACAACATAATGAGTGACCTTAGCACCACCACTTTCCTGGGGAGGACCCCATGTCAGTGTGCACTCCTCAGATGTGAGACCAGTGATTTGGAGTGGACCTGCTGAGGGCCCAGGTCTGTCTAGAACCACACAATTTATTGGCATACTGACTGTTCCAGTAATATTCTGTAGAGTTAGGACATACTGTCCAGAATCTCCTCTGATACAGTCCTTTACAATGATGCAAGTGCTTGAATCATTTGAGACAATATGGATCCTGGCTCTCAGCTCAATCTCTTTTTCATCCTTGGTCCAGCAGATGAGAGGGGCAGGACGTCCAGCAAAATCAGCATTAATCTTTAGAGTTTCTCCTGCTTTCACAAACACCGTCTCTCTAAATTTGACATCCATCATGATGCGTGGTGGGTCTACGTCATCTTTTACAGTGATAGGCCCTGTGTTATCTGATGGTATACTAAACTGTCCAGCTGCATTTTTTGCAATGATCCGGAAATCATACTGGCTGTTTTCTGTAAGGCCTGTCACATCATAGTGAGTCTCAGGCACATTGGTAAAGTTGCATCTTGTCCATCGTCCTTCGGGAAGGTCCCTTCGTTCAATTACGTAGCCAGAAATCTTTGCTCCACCATCGTACTCTGGTTTATCCCAAGATAAGGAGACAGATGTTCTTGTAATGGCAGTGACCACAGGTGTGCCTGGAGGATCACATGGATCTCTGGCTGCAACAGGTTCACAGGCCTTACTGCATTTACCAATACCAGCAATATTTTCAGCATAGACACGGTATTCATACATCATCCCACTTTCAATACCAGTGACTTTGAATTCTGTATCTTTGATCATTCCTCTGTTCATCTTTGTCCAAAGAATGCTAGAACGTTCCTTCTTCTCCAGATGATAGCCTAGAACAGGACTACCACCATCACTAACTGGCTCATTCCAGGTCACCAGCATGTATGACTTAGTGGCCAGTTTCACAATGGGTGTAGATGGAGGTCCAGGTTGTTTGAAGCTATACTGAGCAGTAATTCCAGGTGAATCAAGGGAGGTGCTCTTTCCATAACGATTAACTGCATAGATGCGGAATTGGTACTCTGCTCCATGTGTCAGGCGACCAGCTTTGAAAGATGTTCTGGGTACATTACTTGCTACCATCTGCCATTCCTGTGTATTTGTGTCTCTCTTTTCCACTATATAATTGCTGATGGAGCACCCGCCATCGTATTCCGGTGGGGACCAGGACATTGTAATGCTGTCTGAGGTCACAGCATCTACCTTAATTCCTTTAGGTGGTCCGGGTTTGTCGAGGACAACAATTCCAATATCRGATGTTACCGTTCCTGCAGTGTTTGCCAAGGTGATTTCATACTTGCCAACATGCTCTTTGTTAGCTTGTTTGATGATAATTTTTGATGAAGTTGCAGTATTTAAAATAGTTACTGATGATGTTTGCTTCAAAGGAAGACCATCTTTTTTCCAGGATACAACAGGCTTGGGCCTTCCTGATACTGGAACTTCAAGAGTGAGATCATCTCCAGCCTTCACACTATATGTATTAAACAGTAAATTTATTGATGGTTCTATTGCAACGTCTTTAGAAACCACAGGCAAACCTAGTTCCTTTGGTTCACTCTTTCCCTTCTCATTGATTGCAATAACCCTGAATAAATATGCTTCATTAGGAGTTAAATTTGGAATAGTTGCTTCTGGTACTTTGACTGTGCATGCTGTGCCCCATTTGTCGCCAGTCTTAGGTTTGAATTCTACATTGTAGCACATTACTTTGCTTCCACCATCATGAGTAGGTTTATCCCAAGTCAGTGAGACACTGGTTTTTGTCACATCCACAAGCGATACTTTGTTTGGTGGCAAAGGCACTTCAGACACTTTGATTTCTTTTGTTTCAACTGACTGTCCCTGGCCATATGTATTAACAGCAGAAACTCTGAAAAAGAAAATTCCACCCTCAGGGAGGTCTTCAATCTTAAATAAGTTGGCTGTGCAGTTGCTGGTGATAGTGGTGTAAGCCTTCCTGACAGACTCTCTTTTCTCAACAACATAATTTGTAATTTTTGAGCCACCATCATTGAGTGGTATATCCCAGGCAAGAGTTACTGAATCCTTCCTAAGCTCTTTCACAGTAAAGTTTTGTGGTGCACTTGGTGTGTCCAAAATTCTTACAGAAATAACTGCTGATTTTGTACCACTGCTGTTCTGAAGTGTCAGTGAGTATTTTCCACTGTCAAAGCGGTGAACATTGTCAATGACAAGCATTGTGTATGAACTAGTAGTATCAACAGCAGCACGCTCTGTAAGAGTATCCTCAATCTTTTCCCATTTCACAGAAGGCTCAGGTTTTCCTCTTATAGTGACAAACAAACGCAGAGTTCCACCAGCACGAACAGATACCACTTTTCTGAGATCTGCGTCCAGCTCCATCTCTGGTACCTCTGACCTGTCCGAAGTAACCACTGTGCCATGAACATTAGCAGCCTCCCCTACTCCCTCTGAATTGATAGCACAGACACGGAACTGGTACTCTCCACCCTCCTTCAAGTCTGTAATGGTGAGTTTGGTGGCTTGAATACCTGTAGGTGGAGTACACGTGTTCCATTCTTTTTCAACAGCTGTCTCTATTGTTGGTGCTACTTCTGCCTCCTCTGTTGATCCAGGGACTGGTGTATATTCCCTCATTTCAACAATGTAGCCCTTGATGTAGGCTCCACCATCAAAGTCAGGTTTACCCCAGGAGAGTGACACAGAAGACTTTGTGTAGTCTATCACCTTAGGGTGGTGTGGTGGTCCAGGTGGTGTTGTGGCATCACATGCTCTGTAGAAAAGTGATAATTCACTCAGGTCTCCTATTCCAGCCTCATTCTCAGCAGCAACACGGAACTCATAGAAGTGGTCTGTAGTTAGACCTGTGACCTTGAAATGAGTTTCTGTCAGCTTTTGTCTGTTGCATTTTGTCCACCTTACACTATCTTTGTCACGCTTTTCAAGGTGGTAGCCTTGAATGTCGATTCCACCTGTGTGTTCTGGAGCTGTCCATGATAGAATCATAGAATCCTTTGTAATCTGACTTGCTTCTGGAGTTCCAGGAGCACTAGGTGGCTTGTATGGATTGCGTGCAATGATGGGCTCACTCTCAAGAAAATCGCCAGCACCATATTTGTTGACAGCTCTCACTCTGAAAATGTACTCATTTCCTGAGAGCAGATTTGTTACTTTTTGGTACAGACCCTTGATATTTGGTGCAGCTACCATCCACGATAACCTGCTGGTCTCTCTCTTCTCTAAAACATAGTGACTGATACTAGCTCCACCATCCAGAGTTGGTTCAGACCAGGCAAGAATGCATCTATCAGCCATGACTCCAGTCACCTTCATGGGTCCAACGGGAGGACCTGGTCTATCAAGGACTTTAACAGTGATAGGGAAGGTTTTTGTACCACCAAGATTTTTGAGAACAAGCTCATAGTGACCACCATCAAGTTTAGTTACATCCTTAATCACCATAGCTGCACGTTTCTGCGTGGTTTTTACATCAATGCGCAAAGCTCTCTCTATTTCTTTGCCTTCTTTTAGCCAGACAACATCAGGAATTGGTTTTCCATAAATGTCTGCATCAAAAATCAAACTCTCTCCAGCATTGACAACAATAACATCCTTGTATTTTGGATCCATTGAAGCCCTTGGTGGTTCAATTTCATCAGTGGCAGTGATGGGTCCAGAGCTGTCTGATGGTTCACTGAAAACTCCAGCCGCATTTCTTGCAATAACTCTGAATTCGTATTGCTCATTTTCTGTCAGACCAGTGACTGTATATTCTGTCTCAATTATATTAGTAAAGTTAGCTCTTACCCAGCGCCCTTCTGGAGAAGAGAGATCTTTTCTTTCTACGATATATCCATTTACTTTACTACCACCATCATACTGAGGCTTGGTCCACTGAATCTTGATCAGATTCTTAGAAATAGAAACTGCTTCTGGAGCACCAGGAGGATCACATGGGTCACGAGCAACAAAAGACTCAGATACTTTACTGCATCGTCCAATGGCAACAATATTTTCTGCATAAACCCTGAATTCATATCCAACACCCTCTTCAAGATTGCAGATCTTGAACTGAGTATCTGTGATTAGAGTCTTGTTCAGTTTGTTCCAAAGAATGCTGCTTCTCTCTTTACTTTCTAGATGGTAACCAATGACCGCACTTCCACCATCATTAACTGGCTCGTTCCATTCAATTATCATCATTTCTTTTGTTGCGTATTTTACATATGGTGTTCCTGGAGGCCCAGGTGGTTTGTATGGATATTGCACCACAATGCTCTTAGAGTCAAGAGGCACACCTTTTCCATATCTGTTTTCAGCAATGATTCTGAATTGGTATTCTGCACCAGTCTTCAGCTTTGTAACCTTGAAAGCTGTTCTGGCCAGCTGTGAGATCACTGGTTGCCATGTTGTGGTTGTGGTATCTCGCTTTTCCACTATGTAGTTCTTTACTTGACATCCACCAGTGTATTCTGGGGGCTCCCAGGAGAGATGGACAAAGGTGTTGCTCACTTCAATAACTTTGATAGGACCCTTTGGTGGACCAGGCTTGTCAAGGATAATGACAGTGATGTCTTCAGTAATAGTGCTAACACTATTTGTAGCAACAATGGAATATTTTCCAAAGTCATCTTTGCATGCCTCTGTAATTTGAATTCCAGTTGTTGATGGAGTGTTGAATACATTGACTCTGGATGTCACCTTGAAAGCTTGATCATCCTTAGCCCAGGTGATCTTAGGTTTGGGCCTGCCAAACACAGGGAACTCTAGCTTAATATCTTTTCCAGCTAACACACTGTAAGTGTTAAATTGCATTCTAATGCTTGGCTCCATGGTCATGTCGCTTGCAATCACTGGTGCAGCAAGTGCTTTTGGCTCACTCTTTCCCTTCTCATTGTATGCAATGATTCGGAAAAGGTATTCTGCTCCTGCTGTTAGACCTGTCACAGTTCCCTCACATGTTTTTGTATTTGTTGCTACTCCCCACTTATCTGTGCCTTTTGGTTGCATCTCAATCAGATAGCCACCAATTCTACTGCCTCCATCATACTCAGGTTTCTCCCAAGTCAAGGTAGCACTGGCTTTGGTGACATCAGTCAGGAAAACAGTTCCAACAGGCAGTGGTACTTCAGAGGCTTTGGAAGCAGTTTTGGTCTCTACAGGCTGACCAACTCCATATTCATTCTCGGCCATGACTCTGAAGTAGTACATAGCTCCTTCAATCAAGTTTTCAACTTTGAATGTAGTCTTGGAGCATTTTGTGGACACGTTTGCATATGCTTTCCTGGTTGATTCACGCTTGTCWATTACATAGTTCTTGATTTTGGAACCTCCATCAATCAGTGGTGCATCCCATACAAGAATGACAGAGTCATTTTTGATATCTTTAACTACAAGGTTCTGTGGGGCCCCTGGTGTGTCTAGAACTTTAACTGAAACAAACTCAGACACAGAGCCACTGCTATTAGTCAGGGTAAGTGTGTATTTTCCTGAATCATTCCTGTCACATGAGTCAATAGACAGCTGTGTGAAATTGATGGCTTTTTCCACTACAGCCTTTTCAGAAAGATGCCCCTCATCCTTTGTCCATTTGATCTCAGGTGTTGGCCTGCCCTTGAAAGGAATATAGATTCTCACTGACCCACCAGCTTTTACTGTAATGCCTTTCCTAAGTTCAGAGTCAAGATGGATGTGTGGTGGATCCACTCTTTCCTCAGGTTTAGCAGTTCCAGCAAGAACAGCTGGCTCACCAACTCCAATTTTGTTCAAAGCACACACTTGTATCTTGTACTCCTGGCCCTCGGTAAGTTTTGGAATTTCATATTTATTGACACGCAGACCAGTAGGGGGAGTAACCATGGTCCATGTTTCCTCTTCAGCCTTGCATATTTCAACAATGTATCCTTGAATGATACTACCACCATCAGATAGTGGTTTACCCCATGACACCGTAATGGACGTTTTTGTTGAATCGATCACATTCACATATGCTGGGGCACCAGGTTTGTACTTGGGATCAGAGGCCTTATAATACGAAGTAGGAAGGCTTGGTTCTCCTACTCCAACTATGTTCTCAGCAGATACTCTGAATTCATATTCATGGCCTGTGGTGAGACTTGTAACTCTGTATGAGAGATCAGTGACTTTCTGTCTGTTGCATCTAGTCCATTTGATTCCAGTTCTGTCCTTCTTTTCAATGATGTAGTTAGTAATCTCACTTCCTCCATCTGTCTCAGGGGCAGACCAGCTGATAGTCATGCCATCATGGGCAATATTAGATACATCTTCAATATGAGGTGAACCAGGTGGAACAAATGGGTTCTTCATAATCACTGCGCCAGACTCCAGTGGATCACTGACACCATAACTGTTAACTGCTGTTACACGGAAGATGTATTCATTGCCCTCTAGTAATTTRGTTACTTTGAAGTATGGAGTATTACAGATGCTAGAAACAACAGTCCAAGCAAGACGACTGGTCTCTTTTCTCTCAATGATGTAATGTGTAATAGGATTACCTCCATCATCAAGAGGTGCACGCCATGTCAGTGTGCATCTATCTTCAGCTACTCCAGTGATGTTGAAGGGTCCCTGACATGGGCTAGGTCTGTCCAAGACCACAACCTTGAATGGAACTGTTTCACTGCCGGCCTCATTTGTTAGGAGGAGTGTGTAAGTTCCACCGTCAATTCTTACAGAGTCCTTAATGACAATCATTGTATGATTTTCTGTGTTTTTGATCTCCAATCTGAGTGTATTCTCAACTGGCTTGTCATCTTTGAACCACTGAATTATAGGCAGTGGCTTGCCATGGACATCTGCATCTAACCTGAATGTCTCTCCTGCATTAATAATAATAGTCTTGGTAAAAGCAGGGTCAATTGAGAATTTAGGTGCTTCCATCTCATCACTTGCGGTGATAGGTCCACTGTTGTATGATGGCTTGCTGACAGTGCCAACAGCATTTTTAGCAAAGATTCTGAAGTCATACTGTGCATTTTCAGTCAGTCCAGTAACAGCAAACTGAGTGTCAATCACATTAGTGAAGTTGGCTCTTCCCCACCTGCCTTCTGGCAGATCGCGCTTTTCTATGATATAGCCAGTGATATTACTGCCTCCATCATATTCTGGTTTAGTCCACTGAATGACAATGCTATCTTTTGTCACATGGATGGATTCTGGAGTGCCAGGTGGATCACATGGGTCACGGGCAACACAACCCTCTGAAACCTTGCTGCTTCTGCCTATGCCAACAATATTTTCAGCATAAACYCTGTATTCATACTCAATACCCTCCTCCAATGGGTGACTCTTGAAACTGGTCTCATGAATAAGAGTTTTGTTGATTTTTACCCATAGAATGCTGTTCCTCTCTTTCCTTTCTAGATGGTAGCCAAGAACAGGACTTCCTCCATCTGTGATAGGCTCATGCCACTCAACAATCTGGTGGTCCCTAGAAAGAGAAGAGATGAAGGGAGTGCCTGGTGGGCCTGGGTCTCTGTATGGGTATTGAGCAACTACAGTTGATGAATCTAGACCTTGACTCTTTCCATAGCGATTCTGGGCAATGATCCTAAACTGATATTCTGCTCCTGTTTTTAGCCTAATAACTTTGATAGTTGTTCTGGCATAGTTGGTGCTCACATTCTCCCATGTTGTTGTAGTAGTATCTCTCTTTTGAACAATATAGTTAGATATTTGACACCCACCATTGTGTTTTGGTGGATCCCATGAAATGGTAACACTCTGTGTTGTGATTTCATCAAACCTAACAGGACCAGACGGAGGACCAGGTTTGTCAAGTACAATTATTTCAACGGCTGTGTCCTTCTTTCCTGCTGAGTTTGTTGCACTTATACAATACATGCCACCATCATCATTTGCTGCTTCCTTAATGCATAGTGTTGTATGTGATACTGTACTGAGAATGTTCACTCTGGTGGTGAACTTCAAAGGAGCTCCATCCTTAGTCCACATGACTGTTGGTTTAGGGCGTCCAAAGATTGGAATATCAATATTTATGTCTTTTCCCACATGAACACTGTAGCTGCTGAAGGTTGGACGAATATCTGGCTCAAAGACCAAATCCTTGGTCATCACTGGACCAGCAAGTACTTTGGGGTCACTCTTTCCCTTATCGTTGATAGCTGTAACTCTGAAACAATATTCCTGTCCTGGGTTCAAATTGGAGACCGTAGTCTCCATGGTCTTAAATGTGTTAACGCCTGACCATTTATCATGGCCCTTCAACTGCACCTCAAGGAGATACTGCATGACTCTACTACCACCATCATATTCTGGTTTTTCCCATGCTAGGGAGATGCTTGTTTTTGTCTGATCTGTAACAATCAAATTTTTAGGAGACTGGGGAACCTCTGAAACTTTAAGTGGGTCTACAGTTGTTGCAGGCAGGCCAACTCCATAAGCATTTTCAGCAAGAACTCTGAAGTAGTAACTACAACCTTCTTGGAGTGGTTCTATTTTACATGAAAGATCATGGCAATTTGTTATGACAGCTGCATACGTTTTGCGTGTGCTTTCTCTTTTTTCAATAATATAATTCTTGATCTTGGATCCGCCATCCAATAGAGGTGGCTCCCATGCCAGTGTCACTGAATGATTTGTAATTTCTTTCACTTTAAGATTAACAGGTGCACTGGGTGTATCAAGTACACGAACAACAACAAATGCTGATTTGGTGCCACTGGAGTTCTCGGCAGTAATTGTGTATTTTCCACTGTCATTTCTGCTCATCTTATCAATAACAAGGGATGTGTAACTGCTTGTAATCTCAACTTGAGCAGTCTCTTTAAGAGCAGCTTCATCTTTGTCCCATTTAATAGTAGGAGTGGGTCTTCCTTTAATTGGAATAAACAGTCTAAGTGAAGTACCAGCTTTGATGGTCACAATCTTTCTAAGTTCTGGGTCGATGTCAAGGTCCGGTTCCTCTTTCTTTTCATGCACCATGATAACTCCAGAGACATCAGCATGCTCACCAACTCCCATCTTGTTCATAGCACACACTCTAAACTTGTATGACTGGTTTTCCTTCAGATTTCCAACTTCAAATTTGGTTGTCTTAACACCCGTTGATGGTGTGCATATCTTCCATTCTTCAGTAGGTGTGCCTGTGGCTTCAGCTTGCACACTTGTCTCAGTGGCAGTGCAGTACTCAACAATATATCCCTGAATCTCACACCCACCATCACATGCAGGTTTTCCCCATGAAAGAAATACTGATGATTTTGTTGTGTCAATGACTTTTGGATGGTGTGGAGGGCCAGGTCGGAAGATGGGATCAAGAGCTTTGTAGAATACACTTGGAGTGCTTGGTTCACTGACACCCACGGCATTCTCGGCTGCAACTCTGAATTCATAAATATGACTTTCAAGGAGTCCAGTTACTCTGAAAGTCAATTCAGTGACTGTTTGCCTGTTGCATCTTGTCCATCTTACGCCTTCTTTGTCATGTTTTTCAATAATGTATCCTGTTATAGGACTGCCTCCATCTTCAGAAGGTACCTCCCAGGTGAGCATCATTGAATCTTTTTTAACATCAGAGACTTCTAAGTTCCTGGGTGATCCAGGTGTTACATATGGATCCTTGATTAAAACAGCTGCAGACTCAAGTGGTGTACCCACTCCAAACTGGTTTACAGCACGGACTCTGAAAATATACTCATCTCCTTCCAGGAGCTTAGTAACTTTTAGGCAAATATTCTCCGCTTTTTGGTCAACTACAGTCCAAACTAGTCTGCTTGTCTCCCTCCTCTCAACAACATAGTGAGAGATTTTACTGCCACCATCTTGAAGTGGTGCTTTCCATGCTAGGCAGCAGCAATCTTTGCTTACCCCTGTAACAACAAGAGGTCCTTGTGGTTCCCCAGGTTTGTCTAAGACAACCACATTGATATGTGCAACCTTTTCCCCTCCTGGATTTYTTAGAAGCAGAGTGTACTGGCCTCCATCAGAAAGTTTGGCTTCTTTTATGGCTATATAGGCTTTAGTGGATGTGTTTTTAATTTCTCTATGAATAGTGTTTCCCAGCTCCTGCTCTCCCTTCATCCAGTGAACAGAGGGCAGTGGCTTGCCATGAACATCAGCATCAATTTTGAAGTTGTCTCCAGCATTAACCACAATAGTCTGTGTATACTCAGGGTCAATACTGATGTGTGGTGGTACAATCTCATCCCTGGCAGTTATAGGACCAGTGCTGTAAGAGGGGAGACTGAAAACACCAGCAGCATTTCTGGCAATGACACGGAATTCATACTGGTTATCTTGGACAAGTCCAGTTGTAACATACTCTGTCTCAATGACATTAGTGAAGTTGGCCTTCACCCAACGCCCCTCAGGAAGCTCCTTCTTTTCCACAATGTAGCCAGTAACTTTTGCACCACCGTCATACTCAGGCTTGGTCCAAACAATGGTCACAGAGTCCTTAGTGATCTTTGCTGCCTCTGGGGTGCCAGGAGGATCACAAGGATCTCTTGCAATATGACCCTCAGATACTTTGCTCACTTTGCCTATTCCAACAATGTTTTCTGCATAAACTCTGTATTCATATTCCATTCCTGGTTCCAGACCTGTGGTCTTGAAGGTTTGATCAGTAATGAGAGATTTGTTTAGTTTGACCCATAAGATGCTGTTTCTCTCTTTGCGTTCAAGATGGTAGCCTAAGATAGCACATCCACCATCATTAACAGGTTCATTCCAGGCTACAACCATGCTGTCTTTAGTGGAGGCTGCGATGTTTGGTGTTCCTGGTGGTCCTGGGAGCTTGTATGGGTACTGAGCAACAATACACTCTGACAGAAGTACTGGTCCCTTTCCATATCTGTTTTCTGCTGCAATCCTAAACTGATACTCAGATCCAGTCTTCAATCTGCCAGCCTTTATTTTTGTTCTTGCATGGTTTTGAGATACAACCATCCAATTAGTTGTTGATGTGTCTCTCTTTTCCACAAAGTAGTTTTTGATTGTGCAACCACCATCATACTCTGGTGGGTTCCAGGAGATGGTCACACTGTCAGAAGTGACCTCCTCCACTTTGACAGGACCTCTGGGCTGGCCTGGCTTGTCCAGAACAACGATGCCAACATTCACAGGTGTCTCCCCTGCTGTGTTGCTAAGATTAATAAGATATTGCCCAACATCCTCTTTAGTTGCCTCTTTAATGATGAGGTTCACCATTGTGTCTGTTGCTCCAAAGTTTACTCTGGTAGTTCTCTTCAGAGGCTGACCATCCTTCACCCAGGAGACAGCTGCTTTGGGGCGTGCAACATATGGAAACTCCACTGTCAAATCCTCTCCTGCCAACACACTAAATGTGTTGAACAACATTTTAGCAACTGGTGCAATCACAAGTTCTTTCACTATGACAGGGACACCAAGCTGACGAGGGTCACTTGTTCCTTTCTCATTCTTTGCTGCTACACGGAACATATATTCTTCCCCAGCATTTAGTCCACTGATAGTAGCTTCTGTGTCCTTAACAATCATAGCCTGAGTCCACTTATCAATGCCTTTAGACTGAATCTCAACAACATAACAGCCCACTCTGCTCCCTCCATCATGTTCTGGCTTCTCCCATGAGAGAGACACACTGTTTTTGGTAACATCCTTCAGAGTGATTTTGCCAGGTGGCTGTGGTTTCTCAGAGACTTTAACCGATTCAGCAGTCTCAATRGGCAAGCCAATGCCATATTCATTTTCAGCCAAAACTCTAAAATAGTAGTTGCATCCTTCTAGGAGTTGGTTAATTGTGAAAGTGGTGTTATGGCAAATAGCATTAACTGTAGCATATGCTTTCCTTGTTGACTCACGTTTTTCAACTATATAGTTCTTGATCTTGACTCCTCCAGTATTTACTGGTGGATCCCACGTTAGAGTGACTGACTGATTGGTGACCAAAGTAATTTTCAGATTTTGTGGAGCACTCGGTGTATCAAGAACTCTTACCTGAACTGTTACTGTTTTGGAACCAGAGCTGTTTTCAACAGTGAGATTATATTTTCCACTGTCAAATCTGTTAACATTTTCTATCACAAGTGATGAGTATGATGTTGTACTGTCAATGGTTGCCCTTTCTATTGGCTCATTATCACCTTTAGTCCATTTAACCTGAGGAGCTGGTCGGCCTCTAATTGGCACAAACAGTCTAAGAGTGCAGCAAGCTCTAAGACTAACTACTTTGCGGAGCTCAGCATCCAMGTCAATTTCAGGTGGGAGAAGTCTGTCCTCTGCCTTGGGATTTCCAGGTACAGAAGCTGCATCTCCAATTCCTTCAACATTGATCGCAGAGATATTAATTTTGTACTCCTGATTCTCTTTCAGATTAGTAATAGTAAATGAGGTTGCAAGGAGACCTTCCTTGGGTGTCACAATGGTCCATTCCTCCTCTTCCTTCTTCTCATGTGGGATGCAGGTCTCAACAATGTAACCAGTGATTTCTGAGCCACCATTATATAMTGGTTTGTTCCAGGCAACAGTAATTGAGGACTTGGTTGTGTCCAGAATCCTGGGGTTGCATGGAGCCCCTGGCTTGTACAGTGCATCAGTGGCCTTATAAAATAAACTGGGGACACTTGGTATACTTAGTCCAGCAGCATTCTCAGCAGTTATTCTAAATTCAAATTCATGTCCAGGAACAAGGCCTGTTGCCTTGAACTGTAGATCTTTGACTTTTCTTGTGTTGCACTTCACCCATCGAAGGGCAGCTCTGTCTTTCCTTTCAATAATGTAGTTTGTAATGGGAGTTCCACCATCACTCCTAGGGGCTTGCCACATGACAACCATTGAATCTTTAGTAATAGCTGTCACTTCTGGATTTTCAGGAGGATCTGGGATCACATATGGGTTATCTGCAATAGTGGGTTCTGATTCAAGAGACTCACCAAGTCCATATTTGTTCACAGCCATTACTCTGAAGATGTACTCATTCCCTTTGAGAAGCTTAGTTACTTTGTGTTGTGTGACCTGCAAGCCTGAAACTACATTGGTCCAAACCAGTCTACTTGACTCACGTTTCTCAATCACATATCCTTCAATCTTGGCACCTCCGTCATCTGCTGGTGGAGCCCATGTAAGTACACAGTTGTCAGCAGTTACATCAGACACTTTTAGAGGTCCAACTGGTGGTCCAGGTCTATCGAGAACTTTAACATTAAAGATGTGCTTTGCAAAACCACCAACATTAGTGGCAGTTAAAACAAATTCACCACCATCTGGTCTGACAGAATCCTTGTTTGTCAGAGTAGTTGTCAGTTCAGTAAACCTAACCTCCAGTTTCATTGTGTTTTCCACTTCCTTTCCGTTCTTTGTCCAAACCATAGATGGGGTTGGCTGACCAGCAATATCTGCTTCAAGCTTGAAGGACTCCCCTGCCTTCAGTAGAATAGTGTCCCTAAAGATGGCGTCAACCATAATACGTGGTTCAATGATGTCATCTTTGCAAATAATTGCATCAGAGGGTTCAGATGGCATGCTCACTGCACCCGCTGAATTTCTGGCCATGACACGAAACTCATAGGAGGTATCCTGAGTCAGTCCACTGACAGTGAATGTTGTCTCTATGATGTTGGTGAAGTTAGCTCTGGTCCAGCGACCAGAAGGTAACTCTCTCTTTTCTACTGTGTAGCCAGTGATCTTAAAGCCACCGTCATATTCAGGCTTTGTCCAATGAATAGTAATAGCATTTTTGTTTACTATAATGGGCACAGGTTGGCCTGGTGGGTCTACAGGGTCCAATGCCAGTATTGGTTCTGAAGCTTTGCTGGGTTTACCAATTCCAGCCATGTTTTCAGCCATGACACGGAACTCATAAGCCACTCCATCTTCAAGTCCGGCAGACTTAAAGATATTTCCAGTCACAATACCCTTGCTGATTTTATGCCATATAATGCTGCTTCTTTCCTTCCTCTCAACATGATAACCAATGACCTCATTTCCACCGTCAGACACAGGCTCATTCCAGCCAATTGTTATTGAGTCTTTGGTGAAGGCAACCACGCTAGGAGTACCAGGGGGCCCAGGTACTTTGAATGGATAGGCAGCCACCACTGATTCTGATGTGATGGGAGGTCCGACACCRTATCTATTCTTAGCTTTTATTCTGAATTGATATTCTGATCCAGTATTCAAACGTATTGCTTTGAACACAGTACGTATCACAGAGGAAGACAACTCAGTCCATGTTTGGGAAGTGGTGTCTCTAATCTCAACCACATAGTTGTTTATTGGAACTCCTCCATCATTCTCTGGAGTTTCCCATGAAAAGACGCAGTAGGTACGAGCTATTTCCACAATCTTAACCGGTCCTTTAGGTGGCCCAGGCACGTCATGTACTTTGATGATTATGTTGTCTGTTACAGATCCAACAATGTTCTTTGCTGTCATAGTGTATATTCCACTGTCAGCTCTGGTACATTCATTGATAGAGATAATTGTAGTAGCAGCAGTAGTTTCTACATTGGATCTCTGTGTAAGTTTCAAGGCTGCTCCATCCTTCTGCCAAGAGATTGTTGGTCTCGGACGTCCCATAACTGGAATTTCAACCTTGATGTCATCTCCAGCTTTGGCAATAATAGTTTTCTGGCATACACCACGTAGGTCAAACTCAGGAAGAGATGTAGAATCTTTGACAATAATGGGTTTGCTCTCACGTGGAAGACTTCTGCCAGACTGATTGACAGCCATGACATGGAAAACATACTCCTCATTCTCATTGAGATTCTTCACTATGAAATCCATGGCCTTGACTGTTGTAACATGGGCCCACTGATCAGTTCCCTTTTTCTTGGCTTCCAGAACATATCCTGAAATTCTGCTTCCACCATCATGCTTGGGTTTGGTCCAAATCAGGCCTACAGAGTTCTTTGTGATATCAGTAGGGATGATGYTCTCTGGAGGAGTTGGTGCTTGGGATGCACGAATTGGATCTGTAGTTTCAACTGCTTCACCAATACCATACTCATTCTCAGCAGACACTCTGAAGTAGTATTCACAACCTTCACCCAACTCACCAATTCTAACTGAAGTGCTTGGGCATTTTGTAACAGCAGTTGCAAAAGCTTTGCGTGTTGATTCACGTTTCTCAATGATGTAATTTGTGATTTTGGATCCTCCATCAATGAGAGGCAATTCCCACTCAAGTGTTATACTGTCCTTGTCAATCTTTGTTGGCTTTAGGTTAAGTGGAGGTCCTGGTGAATCTAAAACTCTCACATGAATATCAGCACTCTTCTTTCCAGCTGAGTTTTCAAGGTTAAGCTCATACTTGCCTGCATCATTCCTTGAACTTTCAGGAATAAGCAGCATTGTGAATGACTCAGTGGTGTCAATGACTGCACGTGGAACAGGGCCGCCCTCTTTGGTCCAAGTGACCGTAGGAGTAGGGCGCCCCTTAATTGGCACAAAGAGTCGGATAGAGCAACCAGCCCTGACAACTAGGGTTTTTCGTAGTTCAACATCCAACTCCATGTCAGGTTCAGCAGCATGTTCTACAATCTCAACCAGTTCTTGGGTTTCTGCTGCTTCACCTGTCCCTTTGGCATTTACAGCACTAATCCTAAAGTGGTACTTGGCACCAGTTTGCAGATCAGGAACCACAAACTCTGTGATCCTAAGTGGAGATGAAGGGGTATCCTTAATCCATTCTTCTGTTGCTTCCTTTTTGTGCTCAATCACATATCCCGTGACTTCAAGCCCACCATTGTCTAGAGGTTTTCCCCAGTTCAGAGTAGCAGTTGTCTTGGTTGTGTCAGTAACTCTTGGATTGACTGGAGGTCCTGGCACATCTAACAGAAATAAAAAGAATGTTTAGTATCGTTAAAAATATGTAGAATCCTGAACAAAATCTATCTTTAATGGCATTATTTTTACTTACAAGCAGCTACTATGGTTTTAACAGGCATAGAAGATTCACTTGGCTCTCCAAAACCAGCTTTGTTCTCAGCAAGAACACGAAACTCATACTCAACACCCTCTGTGAGACCAGTGACTTCGAAGCTGAGTTCAGCAATGGATTTCTTGGAAGCCCTAATCCATCTCATAGCCTTCCTTTCTTTTTTCTCAATACAATAACCTATTATGTCACTTCCTCCATCTTCAGCTGGTCTTTTCCAGTTCAAAGTGACTGAATGTCTATCAACTTTCTCAACTTCTGGTTTAGAAGGTGGACCAGGGGGACCTACAGATAAGAGAAACACATAGTTCATTTAAAAAAAATACAGCAGATGTTTTGTTGTTTGTCAGCCAAATAAAATACATAAAATGTTGGCCTGATAATAACTGTACATACCAAACCTATCAATCATCTTGACAGCCTCYGAATGAGATGGCTCACTGGCGCCATACTGGTTCACAGCAGATACTCTAAAGAAGTACTCATTTCCCTGAATGAGTTTGGTGGCCACATAGTGACAGTCAATAACCTTCTCTTCCAGGATTGTCCAGAGAAGACGACTAGTTTCCCTCTTTTCCAGGGTGTAATATTTGATAGCAGAACCTCCATCTTCTGCAGGAGCTGGCCAGGTAAGGGTCACCTTTTCAGAGGAGATGCCACTGCATTCAATAGGTCCAGGAGCACTAGGAACATCCAGAACTTTGACCTTGACAGTTTCCTCTTTTACACCAAAGGGGTTGCTGGCAGTGATTGTGTATTCTCCAGAATCTTTCCTGCCCGCATATTTTACAGACAGAGTGGATGATGTTGCAGAAGTTTCAATTTGAACAAGGTCAGAGGGTTTAAAGTACTTTCCTCCCTTAGACCAGCATGACGTTGGAGCAGGTTTGCCTAAAATGCTTGTGGCAGTGATAACTATTGTGTCACCAGCACGAACAGTTAGACCTTCCTTCACTTGAGCATCAATAATAATGGTTGGTGCAGCTGTTGGAAAAAATGGGAGATATTTAACTTATCAAGTCATTTCCYTATCAGCAATTTAATTTCACAGCATCCACTAAAAATGCCTAGAATAGTGTTCTTCATCTCACCATATTCATCTGTACAGATAATGGTATCTGTCTGCTCAGAAGGTGGGCTGAGGGCACCAGCAGCATTTTTTGCCCTGATTCTGAACTCGTATTTGCAGCCCTCTTGTAGATCAGCAACAGTAAATGCAGGTTCCACAACATTCACATTGTTGGCCTTCACCCAGACTTTGGAAGGCAGATCTCGCTTCTCAACAATGTAGCCAGTCAGCCTATGGCCACCATCAAACTGAGGCTCGGTCCACTGGAGCGTCACACTGCTTCTGGTGATGCTAATTATATCAGGTTTACCAGGAGCATCTATTGACATAAAAAAAGAACACAGCTGAATGTACAAATGGTTTGGATCTCTACTTTTGGTGCTACTACCATTCTTTTAAACTTACCAATGGGATCCAGTGCCACCTGCGGATCAGTTGGAGCACTTGGCCTACCAATTCCAGCCAAGTTAACAGCCATTACTCTAAACTCATACTCCAGCCCTTCAGTCAGCCCAGTTACTTTGTGTTCCTTCATCTTTAAGGCAGCTGGGCTGACTCTCTTCCACAACATACTGTTCCTCTCCTTAAATTCAACATGATAACCTAAACATAGAAACAAACGGTGGCAAAAATCCAGAGTAAGTCCATCTCACATTTGTAAGAGCAAACAAAAAAACTATTGAAAACATGTACATAAGATGTGTTTAAAATAATTCCACTGAAAAATAGTCAATAAAGTTTTTAAGCAGAGTTCACCTGTGATAGGTGATCCTCCAGTCTTTCTGGGGTCAGTCCAGGCCAAGTATGCAGAGTCATGGCGCATGCTCATGATTTGTGGAGGTGCAGGTGCATCTGGTACATCTGTGAAAAAAACAGTGGTTTAAGTTTATCAAAGTAACATTTTATKTTAACAGCTAATTCAAACCTTGGGATTGAAAAAGTTACTTACTAAATGGATGTTTAGCTACAACAGGCTCAGACTTGAGTCCTTCTCCAACTCCATACTTGTTCTCAGCACTGACTCTGAATGTGTATTCTGTGCCCTCATGGAGACCTGTCACCCTCATGGTATTGGTTTCCACAGTGGAAGACACAGTCACCCACATGTTGGTGATGGAATCCCTTTTTTCCAGTATATAGTTGGTAATCTCTGAGCCACCATCATCCTTGGGAACACCCCACTTCAGTGTAGCACCATCAGCAGTAACATCTTTGAATTTTATTGGACCAACAGGGATGCCAGGCTTTCCCACAACCCTGACATGAGACAAATGAAGCATTTTTACCATTAATATGCTTTTTTAACATAACATGTTTTACTGATACAATTAAAACACACACAGTACACAAATTCAAAAGAAAATTGTTTGTCTTTGAGTGCTACCTGATGAAGATGGTTGACTCTTTGATGCCCGCACTATTTCTCAGGGTGATTGTGTACTTAACAGCATCCGTCCTTTGACAGTCTCTAATTAAAAGGGTAGTATTGACTGCAGATGACTCTGCACAAACCCTGCCAGTGTCTGTAAGGTCTTCATCTTCTCCCTTTTTCCAGGTAACCTTGGGAGTAGGTTTGCCAATAATGGGGATTTTCAGACGGACAGTGCTGCCCTCTTTGGCAATGTAACACATGTTGGGCAATTCTCTTAAGTCACAGCTTGGGGGTACTTAGAGAAGGAAAAAAGATATTTAAAACTTTTCTTCAAACACTTCATGACTCTAACTCTGCATGGATGTTTCATAAATACTTACCAATCTGATCCTTGGCAATCACCTTTAGTTCCTTTACAGAACCCTCTCCTGAGTCATTTACAGCTTTCACTCGGTAGGTGTACTCTCTGCCCTCTACCAGGTCTTTGGCACTGTACTGCATGTTCTTGGACCTCATAAGCTCCTTGTATTTGTCATCACCATTAAGAACCTCTAGCACATAGCAAATTATGCGGCTGCCACCATCACTGAGGGGTTTCTTCCAGCTTAGAGTACAAGAATCTTTGGTCACCAGCAGGGTTTTAAAGTCCATGACAGGTCCAGGCTCCTCTGAAAACATTAAATTAGGTAATTATGCATTTTTCAACAACAAAACAAGAACAATAAGAAAGTACAGATTATTCAACCAACCTGTTGCTCTGACAGCATCGGCTGTCTCACATGCCTCTCCTTTACCAAGCTTGTTGACTGCTGACACTCTGAAGCAGTAGGACCGCCCAGCATCCAGGTCTGGAACCTCAAATGATGTCTTTATGCAATTGTTTGAGACAACAGACCAGGCCTTTCTCTCAGTGTCACGCTTCTCCACTATGTAGTGGGTGATTTCATGACCACCATCAATCAAAGGAGCATCCCAGAAGATTTCAGCGCTGTCTTTGGTTGTTTCTTTCACCATCAAGTTTGCTGGTGGTCCAGGAGTGTCTGGAACCACACAAAAAAGAAATTATATATGAAATTAGGCCCTGAACTACCACCACCATTTTGTGCCCTTTTATAGTATGTGCATTTTGTAGTTAGAGCAGCCATGCAGCCATAAATAGTTATGTACTTTGTATTTTAACGGATGCTTGGATATACATATATTTTAGGGCTGCAACAATACAGAAAAGTCACGATTTGGTTCAGTTTGATAATTTAGTCTCACGGTTCGATATTTTTGATACAAAAAAAATAAATTTCCATCCCCTTCTTAACTTGCAATTTTTTGAAATTAATTAGGAACTTTTGTTTAACCTCCAAAGTCCAGTTTTTAAATGAAATATTGCTGAAACAGCAAGTTTCTCAGTGGATCTGTGCTCCACAATGTAGCCTAGGTGGAGCAGTCAAATACAGATCCACTGATCCTTCAAAACAGAGCATCTTCAGAAGACAAGTTTTAAAAATCTGTATTGTTCCATACATTGTGTGTATTGAGCCTAAAGCACTGTATTGAACAATTGCATACAGATACATGGATTGTTGCACCCCTAATATATATACTTTATTTATGTAGGGGGAAATCTTTTTCAATAATGAACAAATGACTTCTTAACTTTTTTTATACTTACCAAAGACTTTCACAACAATAGTGTACATCTTCATGCCAGCTGAACTCTCTAAATTCAAAATRTATTTGCCAGCATCATATCTGTTGACCCTTTCTGCCATCACCAGGGTGTCTAYGTTGCTGGATTTGATGACAATGCCCTGACGGTCCTTGATATTGGTATTCATCTTTGCCCAGGTAATCCGGGGCGTGGGACGACCTTTGATGGTTGCATATAGCTTCATGGTGGCACCGGCCTGAAGCTGCAGACCTTCTTTCAACTCAGCACTCAGCTCTGCCTCAGGAGCAACTGAATACAAATACAGAGTTCAGTTATTATTTAGAGTACATCTTAAATTTTAAGCTATTATTTCATAAAAATAAAATCAGTTAAATGTATGCCTGATCATTTTTATGTTTTACCAAAAATCTGCTATGAATAAGACAAAATCCTCAAGGTTTGGTATTTTAAACATCTAAAGAATCTGAGTTTGTTTCTTTTGTCTATGTGATTACACAATAGGTCTTGTTTAAGAAAAGTGAAGGTTATCGATGTAATCTAAATCATACATACCAATGATATCCTTGGCTACGTGCTTTCCGGGCACTTCAGCTGGCTCACTGAAACCAACTTTGTTGACAGCAGTGATGCGACACTGGTACTCAGATTTATCAATAAGATTCTGAATGATGTAGTTGGTTTCCTGCAAGTTCCTGGGGACATTGCAGCGGATCCAGTCAGTGGTGTCAGTCCTCTTGCATTCCACTAAGTATCCAATAATAGGGCTTCCACCATTGTTAGCAGGTGCAGTCCATGTAAGACTGATGGTGCTATGGGTRGTGTCAATCACACTGGGGTTGATAACAGGTCCAGGAGGAGCTGGCAAGAGCACAGTGAAGAATTTAGATGATGTATAAAAGCTTTGACRTTAGGAGTTAATATTGACAAGTATCATAGCATAAGTAATAGTACAGACTTACTAATGGGATTCTGTGCAGTGGTGCCAGCAGAAGGGTCACTGGGTTTGCCAAGCCCAGCTGCATTGACAGCAATCACTCTGAACGCATACTCAGCTCCCTCTGTTAGGCCTGTTACTTCAAGTGTTCTTTCTGTTATGGGCTTTCTGTTCAGCTTTCCCCAGTTAATTTCTTTGGTCTGCTTCTTTTCAAGCATGTAGCCCAAGATGGTAGACTTTCCATCATAAGCAGGCTCCTTCCAACTTACGGTCATGCGGTCTTTGGTCACATTGGTGATTAGTGGTGCTTCACAAGGACCAGGGATGGCTGAAAGTTATATCATATTAAAGGTTTTTGTTGAGAGACTACAAACAAATTTTAAGTTAAAATCACAAATSAAAAACAGGTTTAGTATGTCAAAAAACTTGGTTAGATATAATAACCGTATTGGCTATAATGTGTGATATGCCAGATAAATGCTTTGATGCAGCTGGTGCTTGTGTCTCTTTTCTATGACAGGTTTAGGATAGATTTTAACAGTTGCATTTCTTTGTAAAGTCTATGTATAAACTTGGACTAAAAGGTGGTGATGACTCACTGAATGGGTTCTTGGCGATGACTGGGTGGGTGATAAAGGCGTCTCCAACCCCCCACATGTTTTCAGCACGGATTCTGAACTGGTATTCATGGCCGTCAATTAACTTCTCCACATTAAACTCCAATACATCACCCTTGATCTTAGATGAAACCTGGGCCCAATCAGTTCTGCTGGTCTCACGCTTGTCCACAATGTAGTTGTTGATAGGGGCACCACCATCTTTCAAAGGAGGCTCCCAGGACAGCTTGATGTTATTGGCAAACACTTCAACATACCTGGAACTGGCAGGAGGGCCTGGCACATCTGCGGAGATTTAAATCCAATATTAAAGCTCATAGCAAATTTTATCTTAATTCCTCTTTGGAAAGATTAAAAAAACATCCTTATATATCTATAAATAAAAATACTTACCAAGTACAACAACCTGGATCTCTTCTGTCTTGGATCCACTGGCATTCTCAGCCAATACTGTGTAGGTTCCTGTGTGTTCTTTAGTAACTGCTGTCATCTCTAGCTGAAAGTGATGCCTTTGTTGGGTAATGACCTGACCTTCATCGGATTTCAAGTTATCATCACCTCTCTTCCAAGTGACTCTGGGCAAAGGTTTACCAAATACATCAGCTTCCAGGAGGATTGTAGTTCCAGCCTTCACCTTCAAACCCTTTTGCATTTTTGCAATGAGCTCAATCTTTGGAGGAACTGTATTAATAGAATATGAATTGTCTTTTAGAAAAAAATTGTCATATTAAAAACAATAATTACAAAAAATATTTTAATTGCACTGCGTAGAACATTCATTTTGTCATGAGGTGTTGAGTAAAATTATCTTACCATTCTCAGCGGAGACYAGAATTGGATCTGTGGGCTCTGAGGGTTTACTAATGTTTACAGCAGTTTTGGCAATRACCCTGAACTGGTACTGAAGGTCTCTTTCAAGACCAGTTACTGTATACTCCTCCCTTGGGACATTTTGACTGCTGGTGTTGCAGCGAATCCATGTGTCTCCTGGAACCCGCATCACCTCAACATAGTAGCCTGTGATTTTGCTTCCACCATCATTCTTTGGACGGGCCCATACCAAAGTGACAGAGTTCTTGGTTACATCCAAAACCTCAGGTTTACCTGGGGTGTCTAAAACACATGAAGACAAATAGGTAAATGTAAGCAAACTTGAAATGAAATAAAATGTTACTTAGTGAACAGATGTTAATGATAAACTGACCAACAGGTGTTCTTGCAGTTACAAAGTCAGTCTTCTTGCTTGGTTTGCCCTGGCCAGCACGGTTAATAGCTGATACTCTAAAGGTATATTCCAGACCCTCTATGAGTCCGGCACATGGGTACTCAGTGTTGCGGACAACGGTGTCGTTRGCCTTTACCCACAGAAGGCTGTTCCTTTCCTTTCGCTCAATGTAGTAACCTGTGATGGGACTGCCACCATCACTCTCAGGTTTGTCCCACGAAACAAACATACAGTCCTTGTTAGTCTTGTTGATGCGGCAGTTTAGGGGTTCACTTGGAACATCTACAGACAAAATACAAAAAATTTAGATATAAATTACCAATAGAAGTTGGAACTAAGGCTAAACAAGACCCATAATTGGGACATAATTCACCCACACCTACCAAAGGGGAACTTGGCGACCATCCTATCGGACTGAATTGGGTCTGAAACACCAAAGCGGTTCTCAGCACGGATGCGGAACACATATTCTTTTCCAGGAATGAGTTTTCCCAATCTGCAACTGGTCTTTGGGCAGGAAGAGAGGGCTGTCACCCAATCGCCTCTACCTATGTCACATTTTTCAATCACATAGTTTGTGATATTGCTGCCCCCATCTTCTAGTGGTTTGTTCCAAGACAGGGAGCAAGAATCAGCATCAATGTCACTGATCTCTACAGGGCCTTCAGGAGGACCRGGGATGTCTGAAATACATAGAATTGTATGCTGAGTTATGTTTATTCATTCTTTGTTGAAGAGAACAATAATATAAATGGTGTTGATTTCATTTTACAGGAGTGTCACGCACCTCTGATGACAATCTTTAGAACTTGGGAAACCTTTGCAGTATTGTTTTCAGCAACAAGGCTGTACTCTCCACTGTCAGTCCTTGTCACATCTTTGATGATCAGGACACACAAGTTTCCAGACTGGTGCACAGCCAAACGACTGGATGGGACCACTGCTTTCTCACCACGCATCCACTTACAAGTTGGGGATGGTTTTCCTGAAACCAGTGCCTCCACTCGAAGTTTGGCTCCAGCTCTAGCACTTGCTGTTTCTGGCATAACAATCTTTGGCTCCACTGTTGGACAGAAAACATTTTAAATTGTTCAGTTAGACTGGAGCAGTGTTACAATTACATTCCGTTGTCACATTAAATACTATAACAGGTATTTTTGATGCTTTAAACACTATTTATTTAAAATAAATTCTTATTGTAAGATTAAAGCTGTTAAAAATTCTTAGTCCACACTATCAACATACCCATCTGCTCCCTGATCTCAACCGGCTCCCTGGTCTCTGTGAAGGAACTCAAGCCCATGATGTTTTTGGCAGCCACTCTGAACTTGTACCTCTTTCCTTCCTTTAGTCCACTGACACTGACTGTTAAACCTTTGACTGTTGTGTATGCGTTCCATATTTCCTTCACAGGTTCTTCTTCCTCCTCGATCACTGGTGGTGGAGGTGGCGGAGGAGCTACCTGTCCCTCAGCAACCTGTGGTGAGTCGGATTCATGTTTAAAGCTCAGTGATTCAGAATTTAAAAGTTTCAATAGGAACATAAGTCTGAATTGCAAAATAATGTCACAATTGCAATACTTGAAAAATTAAAGGGAGACCATTATCACCTATGGGAAATTATGATTTGTCTGTTCAATATGTTTAAAAATTAAAATAATATTGATGCAGAAAACACTGATTTTATTACTGACTTCCACAGGGGCTGGTGGCTCTGGAGGAGGTTTGACTTCAATATATTCAATGACATAACCATCAATTTTGGCTCCACCATCTCTTTCAGGCTTCACCCAGCCAATCATGGCGCTGTTCTTAGTTATCTCCAAAGCTTCAATCTTCTGACAAGGATCCGGCTTGCCTGAAATAAATAGACAACTTGTTTTATTTTGAAGAAAAGAGACTTGAGACTTTGCAAGAGAGTGTACAACTTTCCATGAATTTTTCTGTCTCATGTGATATGCTGTGAATAAATAGGTACTTACTGACAGGATCAGAAGCCAGGTAAGATGTAGGTGTCATTCTGGGAACTCCAGAGCCATACTCATTCACAGCTGTGACTCTGAAGTAGTATTCACTGCCAGGCATCAGGCCAGAGACTTTAAAAGGAATCTTATCTAGCTGAACTTCAGCCTTGACAATTGCCCATGTCTTGCGGTCTATCTCACGCTTTTCAACAATGTAGTGTGTCACCTCACTACCCCCATTGACCTCTGGAGGATTCCAGGCCAACATGACTGATGTCTGTTTGATATCTGTAGCTTCAAGATTCATTACAGGTCCAGGTGTATCTGTTTGAAACAAAAGCACATTTATTTTAATTACTTACAACAGTTGCATCTACAACAATGCATTTTCTTGATCTATAGGAAAAAAAACTTTATTTTGATAGATTTTTGGCAGAAGTGAAACAATTATTTTCAAAAGTATTGACTTACCCAGAACCTTAACATTGACAAAGACAGCCTTCTCTCCTGCAGTGCTCTGCAATGTCAGGCAGTATTTGCCAGAGTCATTACGGGTGGAGTCAGGAATGACCAAGAAGGTCATGGTGTCGATGATGTCAACTTTACCCTTTCTGACTACATTATCAATACCCATCTTCCTCCATGTAACCTTGGGAGGTGGTCTGCCTCTGATGGTGGCCCACAATCTAATGGGACAACCAGCCCGAACTGTCAGACCTTGCTTCAGGTTGGCATCCAAGTCAGCCTCTGGTGCCTCTGTTGAATGAAATCAATAGAAATAATTTAATAATAATTCATTAAACCAACTAAAAATGGCAAGACTGTAATGTGTTTACCTTAAAGCATACTAACAACCAATAATGCCCTTACCTAGAATATCTCGTGGAATCACAGCACCATCTAGGTCACAAGGCAGACTCATGCCCACCTGGTTTTGAGCTGACACCCTAAATTCATACACAAGCTTCTCATCAAGACTTGTGACAGTGAACTCGCACACAATAAGCTGAGCTGCCACATTGCATCTCTTCCAGGCATCATCTCCTTTCTTTGCACCCCCTTGTACCCTCATCTCCACAACATAGCCAATGAGAGGAGCTCCTCCATCAGACACAGGCTTGGTCCAACCCAGGGTGATAGAGGATTTGGTACTATCCACAACCTTCAAGTTGGTAGGAGGTGCAGGAGGTTCTGTAAGTGGACAGAAGGGTATGTGTAAAAATGGGCTTTGTTATAGTAAAAACATAAAGCAAATAAAGATCATTGTTGTTACATACCAACTGCATCCTTTGCAGTGATGGCACGGGAAGCCTTGCTTGGAGAACTAACGCCAATCTCATTCACAGCCTTCACTCTATACTGGTAATCATGGAGTGGCAACAGTCCTGGAACAGTGAAACGAGTTCCAGGGACTGGATCTTTATTAACAGGAGACCACCTAACGGCATGCTCTTCTTTTTTCTCCAACAGATACCCAATGATTGGCTTTCCGCCATCTTTTTCAGGCTCAGACCATTGCACAGTCATTTCCTCCTTGCCTATCTTGGTGACCTCTGGTGCTTCAGGGGCATCAGGTACACTGAACTGGGTTCCGGCAACAATAGCCTCACTCTGAACTGCAGGTCCAGGACCCATCTTATTTTCAGCCCGAACTCTGAAGATATACTCATTGCCTTCAATAAGTCGAGTTACTTTAGCTTTGTTGGTAATGACAGCATTAGAATGGACAGACCAAACTCCTCTCTTGGTCTCACATTTCTCAATAATGTAGTTGTAGATATCACAGCCACCATCATCTTCAGGGACTTCCCAAGCCAGATGGCACCTATCAGTGGTAATGCCAGACACCTTGAGATCCCTGATAGGCCCAGGCCTATCTAGTACAACCACTTTAGCATTAGCAGAGCTGGTTCCTGAACTGTTGGAGGCTGTAACAACATATTTGCCACTGTCACTGCGTCTGGCACCTGTAAGCAACAACTTAGAAAAGTCTACACCAGTTTCAATTTGAAGCTTGGGGCCTTTCTTAATCTCTTCTGTGCACTCATCTTTTGTCCATTTTACATCTGGTTGAGGTTTTCCCTTAACTGTTGCTTCCATAGAAATGGAGTCTCCTGCTTTCACAACAAGGGATCCATCCAGCTTAATTTTGACCTCAGGCTCCACCAGCTGTTCTTTAACTAATACTTCTCCTGTGGTTACCCAATTACTCTCACCTCCCTCATTCTTAGTCTGAACTCTGAATTGGTAGATTTGATTCTCAATGCACCTGTCTGCCATGAAGTAAGTCTCCTTGATGGCACCTTTGTGAAGCCTCTCCCACTCCTCAGCCTCTTTTGGTTTCTTTTCAATGTGATAACCAAGGTTACGACTACCACCATCATTATCAGGTTTCTTCCACTTCAGGAAGCAGAAAGTCTTGCCAATTTCAGATATATGAAAATCAATGGGTTCACTAGGTTTCTCAATGGGGTCAACTGCCAGAATAGGTGTTTTGGTCTCTGTGGATGGCCCAACGCCAATCTTATTCTCTGCACTGACGCGGAAGAAGTACTCACAACCTTCAGTGAGAGGAGCCTTTAACAGACGTTTGGTCCAGTCATTGGAGACCATTGTCCATCCTCTTTGACTCGGCTGACGACACTCAATAATGTATTGAGTTATCTCAGTGCCACCATTATCTTCAGGATTTTCCCAAGACACCATGCAGGATTTTTTAGTGACATAGGCCACTTTCAGATTCTGGCAAGCTCCTGGTGTGTCTAGAACATTTACCAAAATGGTAGCCTGTGCCTGTCCACTGCTGTTCTTAGCAACAATGGCATATTTTCCATAATCTGATCTGACAGTGTCATTGATAATCAGTTCACAAACAGGGTAGTTGTTGTTGATCTCTGTGCGTTTATCTCGAGACAAGGCTCTTGCATCTTTAGTCCATGTGATTTCTGGATCTGGTCTGCCTTTCACTCTAGTAATTAAACTGAGTACCTGCCCTGCCCTGACTGTCACAGAGTCACGACAGGACACATCAACCACAACTTCAGGGGGCACCAAGATGTCCTTTGCCAAAATTGCCTGAGGCAGCTCTCTAGGCTCACTATCCCCAACCTTGTTGGTAGCTCTAACACGTATTCTGTACTCCATTCCTTCAATAAGGCCTGGCACTCTGTAGGCACAGATTTTGATAAGGTCCTTATTGATTCTATCCCACTGGGCACTTCCTGACTTCTGAACTTCAACAACATAGCCCAGAATTGGACTGCCTCCATCTCTCGTGGGTTTGGTCCAGCAAATGTCAGCATAGGACTTACTCCAGTCCTTCAATTTAAGGTTGCCAGGAGGTCCAGGTTTAGTAATGGCTCGAGTGGCTTTAATGGGATCAGAGGTGAGTGAAGGCTCACTGATGCCAGCAATGTTTTCAGCAAACACTCTGAACTCATAGCTGTTGCCTTCAAAAAGACCAGAGACTCTGTATCTTAGGTCTAGCACTGGAGTTTTATTGACACGAATCCACTTTCCTGTCATTTCTCTTCGTTCAACCACATAACCACTGATTGGACTACCTCCATCATAATCAGGCAGGGCCCATTCCACTGTCACAGCATTCTCTGTGATGTCAGAACACTCAGGGAAGCCTGGAGGACCTGGAGGGTTGAACATGTGCTTGGCAATAGTAGGTGGACTCTCAAGAGCAGCACCAATGCCAATTTTATTTTCTGCACGAACCCGAACAATGTATTCACGACCTTTCTCTAACCTTGACACCTTGGCTGTTGTGCTGGCGCCACTAGAGCTAACGACTGACCAAGGCTCCCATGGCTTCTTGACATCCTTCTTTTCTACCACATAGTTGGTGATAGGTGTACCCCCATCATCTTTGGGTGCTCTCCATTGTATTATCATGTGATCAGGGGTGACCTCCAAGATATTGATTGGTCCAATGGGTGGTCCTGGTAGATCCAACACAGTGACATGTAGGGCAACTGTCTTGCTGCCTGAAGGATTGGTCACAGTGAGAATGTACTCTCCAGTGTCTCCTCTCTGGCTATCTGGGATACTGAGGATGGTTGAGGGTCCAGCAGTTTCAATATGATATCGGCCCTCAGAGAGGATCTCTTTGCCATCACTCATCCACTTGGCTGTGGGAAGGGGGATGCCTGACATTTTAGCTGGTAAAGTAATAATACTTCCAGCTTTGACAACAACACCTTCAATGAGCTTCACATCAACTTCAATCGTAGGTGGCACTGAAAGAGAACAAAACAGAAAATGTGAGGTTTACAACTTTTACTTGACAACATATCCAGCTTTCACAGTGATAAACATTTTCAACATCTTACATGTCTTTTCCTGGCAAGTGACTGGGACACTAATGTCAGGGCGGCTTATACCAATGGCGTTCTGAGCCTTGACTCTGAAACGATAAGTCTTGCCTTCTTCCAGACCTGTCACATGGCTACGCTCGTTGCTTACAGTCTTGAAAGTTACCCAGTCTGTCTGGCCATCTTCCTGGTATTCTACAATAAAGCCAGTAATTTCACTTCCACCAGTGCGATCCGGCCACTCCCAGGCCAACCACACCTCAGTCTTCTCTGCATCGGTGTGGTGGAGGTTCTTGGGTGGACCAGGAGGATCTAAAAGTGTCAGAGAAGAAAAAATGATTTCCAACTCTTGAGGAATTGAAATCACTCACTTGGAATGTGTACATCAATTACTTTCTTAAAACAATATATTAGTTTTTATGGCTTACAAAGGATAGTATCACATTCTAATGATTTATAGTTTTTTTCTTACATAGAGGATCAACAGCCTTAATGGGTGTCTTGGTTATAATGAAGTCACTTCTGCCAAACTGATTCTCGGCAGCCACCCTGAACAGGTACTGGATTCCTTCCATCAGATACATGGCCATCAGACTCAGCTTCTTATTGGCTGCAGCAACAGGTACCCACTGATCTGAAGCTACATCTTTCTTTTGCACAACATAATGAGAAATGACAGCACCACCGTCGTCCTCTGGAGCCTTCCAAGTTAGGTAAGCAGACTCACTAGTCACTTCACTCACCACCAAATTCCTTGGCGGAGAAGGCTTGTCTGATAGAAACAAGCATTTGTAAAATTAGGTCTATATGAATTCTGATTTTAAAAAACATTTACTAACTTGAGTTGACATTTCACTTACTTAGCACAAGCACTGCAACAGTTGCAGATTTCTTTCCAGCTGTGTTCTCAGCTGTAATAGTGTAGTTTCCAGAGTCTGCACGGACGCATTTGGGAATGAAGACTTTGCTGCCCGTGGCAGTAACAGCAACAGTGATGTGAGAAGGAACATCTCCATCGTTCTTCTTCCAGGAAACCGTTGGTGTTGGTATACCTTTAATAGTGGCACTCAGGGTGATATCAGTGCCCAGCATGGCTAAGTGGTCTCGTGCCATGTTGGCATCCAGGTGTAATTCTGGTTCCTCTGTGGATTGTAATAGAAAAGTGTATAAATTTTAGATGTTACAAACAAAAGGCTAGTAAATTTATGCATAATTTATTTGGTGGACTGAATTTCTTATTTCAAAAATGTATTATAATGTATTCATGAGCTGAATTACATATCTCCCATACCAATTCTGTCATGAACTGTGATGGTCTGTTTGACAAAGGCAGGGTCGGATTTGCCAGCAGCATTGACCGTAAAGATTCTGAAGGCATACTCCTGTCCATCAGTCAGTCCTGTTACCACATAATGGAGATCTGGACACTCCTCTGGAGTTGCGTTGGCCTGAATCCACTCTACGGCACCAGGTTTCTGATACTCCACAAGRTAGCCAAAGATTCGTCCTTTTCCATCATGACGTGGCAATTGCCATTTTAGACTGACAGAATTCTTGGTCTTATCATAGGCCTCTGGGGTTACTGGAGGACTTGGGGGCACTGTGAGTGGAAAACAGTTCAGTCAGCTGTAAGTGCAATAAAGAGCAGATCTGACAAGGAATTGCCGTCCTAGTCTCCACAAAACTACAAAATTTTCAATAATAATTAAAGCCTAATTCCTAAAAAGCAAAAGGAAAAGTCTAGATTTGTCAATGAAAACCAAATGAAGGTTGTAAAAAAACTGATGAGAGAAGTGTCAGACTGACCAATAGGATCTTTAGCAAGGATAGGTTGGGATGGAACACTTGGATCTCCGGTTCCCAACTCGTTCTCAGCCATGACCCTGAATTCATACTCGCAACCTTCAACTAAGTCCTGAACTCGGTACTGAGTTGCTGGGTACAGCGGGTCTCTGGTGACTCTGGACCACCTCTTGGCTCCAGGCTCCTTCTTTTCCAAAATGTAGTTGGTGATAGGCTTCCCTCCATCCCGAGGCCGGTTCCACAGCACCAGAGCGCTGTTAGCATACACCTCTCTGACTGTTGGCATTTCAGGGGCTTCAGGGACTCCTTAGATATGAAAAGGATAAATAAATATTGTAAGAATAAAAAAATAATGTGTATATTTCAACTATTATGAAACTTTGTCGTTTATTTACAGAATTCCGATCAAATCACATTTTTAAATGTGAAATTTAGTAACTTTGTGTAAATGTAAAAAGAAGAGAATGTTGTTTACTAAATTATTGAACCTCTCCTATGATTTAAGGGAAGCTTTAAGATGGTGTGCGGACGTACTGAACAGATCTTTAGCTTTCATCTCCTCAGACTCTAGAGGGTCGCTGATGCCATACATGTTCTCAGCAAAGATTCTCATGATGTACTCCCTGCCCTCCGTTAGCTTGGGGATCTGTGAAATGAGAAACTGTGTGAATGTCTCTGAAATTCAGCAGCCTCCCCCTGCTGGAGTCCTGACACTTCAGGCTTAACTACCTTGCATATAGTCTTGGTGGTGGCAGATGTTACTGTGGTCCACATCTCTCTGTTGACATCTCTCTTCTCAATGATGTAATTGGAGATGTCAACACCACCATTGTCCAGAGGAGGCTTCCAGGAAATCACCATGTACTCCCTGTGCACCTCCTCAAACACCACGGGACCAACAGGAGGAGTTGGACGGTCTGCAGGGAAAAAAGAAAGGATAAAAATGTACTGATGGTATGCACTACTGATGGTATCAACCCAAGTTGTCTTTATTGTTCCAAACGTACCAACAACAGTGACATTGCTGACTCCTTTCCTGGATCCAGTACTGTTTTCCACAACCACCACATACCTGCCACTGTGCTCACGCTTGGCCTTCATCAGGCCTAGTGACATGGTGACTGGTGTGTTTTTGAACACAATATGGTTGTCAGTCTTCAGCTCTTTGTCGTCTCTGTACCAGGTAATAGACGGAGCTGGTTTGCCAGTGTAGCGGCCCTGCAACAGACAGCTCTCTCCCACACGAATGATGATTTTATCACGGAAGTCCAGCTCGATGGTTGGTGGCTCTGTAAAAACAGAAAATTAGGAAAACCTTTAGAAATATTACTCAGAGGATATTTTTTTCTTTTAGTACCCTCCATTGAAAGTAAGAAAGAGCTGGAACTACTTTAGACAACAAATAATGACAATATTCACATATTTCTTTAATTCAATAAAACTATATGGTTATTTCTATATAAACATGAACATATAAATGTATATCAATAATGCTTAAATTACTGTAGAAAACTATTATAAAGCTACATTTCCACAGGTGTTCATTGATATTATTAAACTACATAGGTTGGAAGCTGTAAAATGTCTCACCCAGTTCATCCTTGCAAGTGATTGGTTTGGTACAGAAAGATGGTTTGCTTGGTCCAACCTCATTTACAGCAATCACTCTGAACTCGTAGGTGTCACCTTCCCTGAGGCCATCGTATGTGAATTTCCTGTCCATCAGCTTCTCCTTCGTCAGTCTGTTGAACTTGTCCTTGCCGATCRTACGTGCCTCCAGGATGTACATGGTGATGTCAGAACCTCCGTCAAATTTAGGCTTTTTCCAGGTGAGGCAGATCATATCCTTGGTAACCTTGGTGACATCCAGTTCTTCTGGGCGGTCTGGCACACCTGAAAAAAAAAGAAATTATTCTTCATATCTGATGATAGAAAGCTGCTTAATGGTGGATGATCACAGTTATATATTTTTAAATAAAACTCTTGTTATTTACTGACAGTTTTTCTGCACTGAACAGTGTGGGGTGGGGTTAATTTTGAGAGTTGTCAGAACAGAGCATCAGGTCATCAATCCTTCACTCTGACAGTCTACACTAAAACATTTTACCCCTGATTAGTGTTCTGGTCAACCATTGCTAGAGTACATTCAGAGGCATTTTCTTGGTGCAAACAGCTTTTCTTCGTCTTGAAATACAGCACATTGCATTCTGGGGACCTTGAGTTATGTTTGAATTTGTTAACTGTTCACTTGTTCCCTCAGTAGCAAGTGGACTGAGTATTCAAATGGAGTGCAGAATTTGATTACAGAAAGTATCTGCTGCAATCAAAAAGAGAAAATGTATCTTCCAAAAGAAGAAAGTATGTACAGTGTAAATATTTGAATATTGTAAGTATCTGTGGCTGGATTACTTTAATTAAAGTAAAAAATCTGTTGTAAGAAGTCTCTGACTGATGAGAGGACTTTTTCTAGTCCTGAATTTTACAGTTGTGACCTCCCCTTTTGAAACCAGTATTCATCATGGGTCTTAATTAAACTTACTAATTGGTTCCTTGATGACGAGCTCAGCTGCTGTTTCCACAAAAGGTCCAATGCCAATGGCATTCTCTGCGGCCACTCTGAAGAAGTAGGCCTTTCCAAGGGTGAGGTCATGAGCCACAGCATTCTGCCTGCTGGCAGTGTAGGAGAGTGAGGTCCAGGCTTTACGCTCAGCTTCACGTTTCTCAATGAGGTAGTTGCTGATGGGAGAGCCTCCATCATTCTCTGGGAAGAACCAGTTCAGCTTGCAGGAGTCTATGGTCAGGTTCTCAGCAATCAAAGGAATGCCAACAGGCCCGGGAACATCTACAAGAAAACAGAAGTGAATCAATTCAAACAAATATTTGTCAAATCATCTTATTGAAATAGTTCTGCATTATGAAAATCATCTCTCACCGAGGACTTCCACAGTGATGTTTTTTGTCTTCTCTCCTCCAGCGTTCTTAGCGGTCAGTGTATACACCCCAAGGTGTTTCCTGGCACACGGTTTGATGACAAGAGAAGAGCTGATGGCTGTTGTCTCCACTTTTGCCTCTAGAGGCAGTGCAGCTCCGTTTCTGCTCCATGTGATTTCAGGTGCTGGTTGGCCTGACACATAGGCGATGATCCGAATCACACCACCAGCGTGGACCACCATCCTCTCCTTCACTGAGGCATCCAGGTCTACCTCTGGAGCAACTAAAAAGAAGAAACATCTCATTGCAGTCTGTTTTACATAGTTTCAGTTTGTTTGTCTTTGGTACAACCGTTGATTTGAACTCACTGATTCTGTCATTGACCTCGAGCACCTCCGGGACTTCTCCTGGCTCACCGTTACCAGCAGCATTGAAGGCAATCACCCTGAACCTGTACTGACCACCTGTCTTGAGACCGGTGATCACTAACCGAGTGCCTCGGATTTCAGTCTCCTTAGCCTGAAAAAYACCACCATCATTTCCAAGATCATGGATCTGTCGCTTAAACCAAATGAAAGACTGGATGCATCATTGTCAATGTTCGAAATGGACACTTTTATATAAGCAAGCTACTACAAGAAAAGACAGTTTCAGGTGACTCTTCATCTTACCTTGACCCAGGCCTCAGTGCCCTCCTCCTTGTACTCTACCCAATAGCCAATGATCTTGGAGCCTCCATCCTTCAGAGGTGGGATCCACTCTAGGTCCACTGTAGATTTAGTCCAATCAGAAACCTTTGGCGTTGGAGCAGATGGGGGGGCTTCACAAGAAGGACAGCTAGTTACCATTCTGCTCTGTGTACTTTCAGAATATCACCAACTTTTATAATTTCAGCACATTATACTTACAAATGGGGTCTCTGGCAAAGACAGGGTCTGTTGGGGGGCTAGCGAGACCAGGCCCAGCAGAATTGATGGCAGAAACTCTGAATGAATACTGTGATCCTTCAATTAATCCGCTCACTATAAACGATTCACCAAATCCCATGGGACGGATGGGGTCTCGGGTAACACGGGCCCAGCGTTTGCCAGTGGTTTCTTTGCGCTCCAGCCAGTAACCAGTGATTGGGGTGCCGCCGTCATCCTCAGGCTCCTCCCAGTTGATGGTCATGGAGTCCATGGTGATGTTAGTTACTGTGGGCTTCTCACACTGACCGGGGACAGCTGGACACACAGAGGACCCACATTTAGATTCTGATCATGGAACTGAATCATTAATGGTTCAGTTCTGTCATCAGTTTGTATTGCCCTCCTTCAGTTCTTTCAAACATAGWAAAAATAAAGTAATTAGCTAACAGTTTGACTAACAGTACTTCACTGTGGGATGTAGTTATGGATCGAGTACTGGTACAAATAATAGAGACTAAAAAAATTTTAAACCATCACTTTATTTCACCCAGCCTGTAATGGGCGGCTGTGGAACTGGAAGGTCACCGGTTCGATCCCCTGTCCAGCCATCTCAGTTGTTGTGTCCTTGGGCAAGATACTTCATCCACCTTGCCTACTGATGGTGGTCAGAGGGTCCGGTGGTGTCGGTGCATGGCAGCCCTACCTCTGCCAGTGTGCCCCAGGGCAGCTGTGGCTGTAGCCTACCATCATCAGTGCATGAATGGGTGAATGTTTGAAGTGTAAAGGGCCTTGGGGTTCATGTGGACTTAAGGCACTGCATAGGTTCAAGTCATTCACCATTTACAAACTTGATTCCTGTCTGTCACTGCTGAAGGCAGCTGCTTGGACTTTGAAATCACAGTTAGAAGGTTGAACTCACTGTAAAGGTTTCGGGCGACCTCAGGCTCACTGTCCAGTGGCTCCCCAACACCATACTTGTTCTGTGCCATGATGCGGAACACATATTCATGTCCCTCCATGAGATTTTCTACCGTCCAGATCCGGTCTTTGGGCTCACTCGTGACAGGCACCCAAGTCTTTCTGTTGGCCACTCGCCTCCAGATGACGTAGTTTGTAATATTAGAGCCACCATCATCTTTTGGTGGCAGCCAGGAAAGTGTGATCTTCTCAGCTCCAATCTCCTCAAACTTAATAGGAGCAGAGGGAGGACCAGGACGACCTGCAAAGACCAAGATAAGTTGTCAAATTAGAGGTTCCTGTTGTGAGATGCATGTTTGGTGTGTTTGTTCCTACCGAGCACGTTGAGCCTCATCTCCTTGGAGGCCTTGCCAAAAGTGTTGGAGGCCACCAGCGTGTACAGACCCGTGTCTGGGCGTTTGCCTTGCTGGATGAGCAGCGTGCAGCTGTCATCTGACACGATCTTGTTGATGTGCTCATCATACTGAACCTTCTCCTTGTTGTCAGCCTTGTGTGGTGGAGCTTTGTACCAGGTGAGTGTGGGGAACGGACAGCCACGGACCTTGGCTACAATGCTGATGTCCGAACCCTGCTCCACCTCCATGAACTCCCCGAGCTCGATGGATGGAGCACCTGCAAGCAAAAAGAATAAAATAGGAGACTGTGACTTACTTTAAAAATAAATATTAATTGATTTTCCAAACTTTAAAATTCCTTTTCAATGCAGACATTTKGTTGAACAAACAGGGAAAAGATAATATTGTGATTTATTCTCTGATGATTTCCAGGCAGCAAGTATTTGTAAGCCCCACTTGCAGGTCCACTTGGGTTTGTTAATCTACCATGTTGTACTTGTATAGTACACACAATGGGCCTCATGCAAGAACAAGTTCGTATTCTTATCCTAAATTTCTCTTACTTTTGTTCTATGAAGGGTTCATACCAACATGCCACGTCAGATTCCACAAACTCTTCTACCTTCAGGAAAAGTGTGTAAATGAGCTGTGTAAACTGATGAATGTGTGTCAGGTGCTCATACACAAGGAGAGATGTGCATAATTACTACCCTAAAAACATCATATAAAGATATACGTTTCCTGCCCCACATACCAGGAAATGTCCATTCATAAATGRCATCGCAAAGTAAAGAAGAACTTTACGAGTTCAGAGATTGAAGTCCTGCTCTCAGAGATCCAGAAAAAAATGTCATTTTTAGCAGCRTCAGACCTGCTAAAGCAGAGGAATGAAATGACAACTGCTGTGTAAAAAAGGTGTAAACTGTTACAAAACTGTGTAACTGTGTTACATAGTTTTCATTTATTCAGAAGAAGAGCAGTCACGCACCGCTACCCCCCTCCACCCCCACCCCCTCACAACCATCACAAGTGTCAGATGCGGTTCTGAAAAAAAGCATTTTAATCTGTCTCCAAACTTCAATTAATGCATAATGTAGTTGGTTTTTAGTTTGAGATCTTCATATTATTATYGTAGTGTTATACAACAGCATTAACAGCCAATTTAATTTAATCTAACCAATTTATGTCGTTAGTTACATTTAAAATCTAATTCCAGTTCAAACAGAATAACCTATTGTCAACATAATTATGGAGTGTGATTTATTTTCAACTCAAAATATCTTCAAACTACTGAAATATAATGTTATTAATAAGAAAAATTCATCTGGATAACAGCAGACTGACTGCAGGTAAAATATACGACAGGTCTGGACCACTCSTGAATTTTGTTCGTATCTGAAAAAATTCTTACAATAAGAGAAACTTGGTGAATGATAATTCCTCCTAAATCACACGTACGCACAACTTAAGAACAAATCTGCTCGTACAAACAGTTCTTGCATGAGGCCCAATGAATTAGAAAATAAGACCTCGGTGGGTTTTGTGTAGGTTTTCCTACACCCTTTCACTACCCAACATTGTTGTGTATGACATTAATACTGTGGAACGTGTGGACAGTTTCTGAACAAACACTGAATCCTTTCATTCTCATAATGTTTGCTCACTGTGTGCTACTCTGCTGAGTTCTGTTCTTACAGGTCTGGTCCTGAAGCAGGATGGGTCCAGCAGTGGTAGATGGTCGACTGGGGCCAGCCTCATTGTATGCTATCACTCTGAACTCGTACTCATTTCCTTCAATCAGGTCCTCCACCTTGAAGGTTGTGGTGTCTACATCTCTTCTGTTACATCTGCAAGACATGAGCCAGGTCACATCCAACTCACCACACAACCAAACAGCTAAACCTGCTAAAGAAAACAAATCATAAAAGTTTTTTCCTCTAAAGTTCAGATTTATTTCTGTGATGACCATGATTGATATATTCCTGTAAAGGCTCTGGTGTGACATGAAAGCAGCCAGACTGATGTGAAATAAACAGCTAATGCAGAATTGAGCCAGGTGTTATCGGRACAGAACCTGCTTCTGCCTTCATGGAAATAACCTCACCTCCTCCAGGACTCCTTCTGACCGCTGGAGTCCCAGCAGAGCAGATCCACGCTGTAGTGGGTAACAGGTGACCCTCCATCATTCCTTGGAGCCTTCCAGGTCAAAGTCAAGGTGCCCTTCCTGATGTTCTGAATCTTCAGCCTTGTTGGAGGATCTGGAGGATCTACAGATGCAAAAAATGGTAAATGTCACACAGTTATTATCTGGACTTCTTAGRACACAAAGGGCTCCATTTATCAGGACCACAGATGACCAGGACTAAATACCAGGACTAAAAACAACCAGTACTAAATACCAGCACTAAATACCAAGACTGTTGTGATGCAGCRCAGGAATGAACCCAAATCCAGATAGAGACAAGGAGCTTCAAATAAAACTAATTTAGTAAAGAAAACAAAAAGCTGACGTGGCAGCAAAACAACAAAAAACTAAGCGACACGGGGAAAACAACAAGGAACATCCAAACAGTTGGTGAGAACCAAGCAATGAACCAGCGAGGTAGTGGAGGACTGAACCAGATTATATACCAACAGAGGAAATATAAAGGAGATAATCATCTGCAGATGAAGATTCAAAACAAACAGAAGCTGTCTGAGTTTGTAGATAACTTCTTAAATTAATAAAATCCTGATTCCTGAAAAACTCWAACACATAAATGTTCTTATTGAAAATGAAGAAGTTTGTATTGTTTCCATATAAACYAGTAAACGGTAGCAGTAAAGCAGGTGACTAAAGAGAATGACATACGGATGGGATCTTTGGCTTTGGTCCCTTCAGTGGTCTCAACAAACGGTCCAAACCCAAAGAGGTTCTCTGCTCGAACACGGAACAGGTACTCTTGACCATTGATCAAGTCTGGAACCACCACAGACTGAGTGGCACAGGCTGGGTTCACCTGGAAGAACAAGATCAGGGTTGAACTTTGCCCTCAAAGGTCAACAGTATTCTGTTTTCTGATGAGGGGCAGCACAGAAGGGTCTGTACCTTTGTCCAGGCTTTGCCACCCACTGTCTTCTCCTCAATGAAGTAGCTCTTCACCCTCTGTCCTCCATCATTCTCCGGAGGTTTCCAGGTGAGTCTGCAGGTTCCCCTGGTCACGTCACTTACTTTCAGGTCCCTAGGTGGTCCAGGCAGATCTGCAGACCAACAAAAGGAAAGATCAGTACACTCAAAAGACTCAACTCATGTTTCCTTCCTTGATTTTAAAAACAGTGTATGAGGCTCCCCATACCRAGCACGGTGACCCGGACTTTGACCACTTTGTGTCCAGCTGGGCTCTCAGCGTTGATGATGTATCGACCGCTGTGGCTCATTTTGCATTCGGGGATTACCACCACTGATGTGGTGTCAGTGGAGTGGATCTGAAATAAAACAGGAGGCAAAGGTCAAAACACAAACAGATTCAAATTACAAGGTTTAATCTGAACTGATCTGATGTCATCTGAGCTTTCAAACAATCTGAGTGCATGTACTTGTGTGTGCAGACATCAACATCTGTATTTTACATATATATTTATTTTTAGGATTATCTCCTCTCCTCTCCTCTCCTGATGATAAACTGTAGAAATACTTGACTGGGCACCAGTCAGTCCTAAATGAACCTCTGACCTCTGAGTCAATGGGCAGCGTATGAAGGTCATTCTTCTTCTCGGTCTCAGCAGTTCCATCCACAAAGGTCCAGGTGACTTTGGGAATGGGTCGTCCTGTGATGGTTGCAGGAATCCTGATGGTGGTTCCTGCTCTGCAGGTCAGCAGGTCGTTAACGTTCACATCCAGAGTAACGGTGGGTTCGACTGGAGAACAGAAACATTTCTACTGTTTACAGTACTAAACACATTTACAGAAACGTTGAGTTGTATGGTGGGAACCAATGAAAAGCTGACTGAAGTCCACATATCTGGCTAAGATGAAGAGGTGTGAGGTGATAAGCAGGTCTGAATSTGAGGGTGCTTCTTACTCAGGATGTCCTGAACCAAGATGTCAGCTGTCCTAGCAGGTTCTGAGTTTCCTGCATCATTCACGGCATAGATCCTGAACTTGCACTTCTTGCCCTCCTTCAGGTCAGGGACAGTGATTTCAGTAGATGGGTGGAGCTTATCGGCTGGGTTTACTCTCCTCCAATCAGGAAAGCCTTCCTCATGGACCTCAATGATATAACCTTTGACTGGGCTTCCTCCATCTCTGTCCGGAGGGCTCCAGGTGAGTGTGATGCTGCTCTTGGTCTTGTCCTTAACCTCAGGGCTACCAGGTGGGCTGGGGGGGTCTGAAAAACAAAAACAGGAGACATTGAAATCTGTTCAAAGTTAAATAATTACCTTTTATGTCGTGGAAAGTCTTTGGTGCCATGTTCACTACTGTTCCATGTTGTCACAGACTAAAAGTTAAACACACCTGGTTTCATCAGTTTTTATTGTTTSTTTTGAAATGCAGGAACCTGTTTCAGCTGAGAAACACTTACTGCATGGATCCACAGCGAAGCGGCACTCAGTGGGCTCACTTGGTGGTCCGACTCCTGCAGCATTGCTGGCTGAGACCCTGAACTGGTACTGTGTTCCTTCTATGAGCCTCAGCACTGTGTACTGCAGACCCTTTACTGCCGGCTTGGTGACTGGGGCTCGGTTAACCCGACCCCAGTACACGGCACCGCGTTCCCTCTTTTCCAGCCAGTAACCCTGGATGATGGAGCCGCCGTTGTCCAGAGGGGGGTCCCAGGTCACAGTCATGGTGGTTGATGTGGCAGCTATGATTTTAGGGTTACGTGGAGGTCCTGGGAGGCCAAATGGATCTTGGAGCTGGACTTTCTCTGAATCGCAGCCGTCACTAACACCATACTTGTTTACAGCTTTGATCCTGAACTGGTAGGCTCCATTTAAGTCCAGTTTGTGGACCTGAAGAACCAGAACACAACATTTGGACAAGTTACTTTCTTAGAATTTAGATATTTCAAAGAAAGCATTGTCACTTTTTAAAATATGAATAAATATTTTGGKGTTGTTATTTAAACTTTTTTAAAGACATTTACAAACAGTGCTTTCATGGATTCATATTTATACCAAAGTGTCACAAAATTTTGTCCAAAAGAACAGTTTTTACAGACGAGATAAAACATTTATTCATTCCTTTGGATAAATAGCTTTTATTTTTGTTTATTTTATATGGGAYAAAACTGTCAAATGGTAAAATGTTTTAGCTAAGTAGTAAAATTAATAAATTAATTCAGAATGTACTTAAAGTGCTAGTTTGTCTTTACTTTATTTAAAGCCGATTGTTAAATAAAAACCTGACCTGTGTTCCATAGAGCTGCTGTATAGAACAGATGAATATTCGATTGAAAATGGAACTGACCCCATATCTCCTGTCAATCAGGTTGATGGTCAGGACATCAAAGTCTGATTTCTTCTTGCTGGCGTCTCGACGCTCCACAATGTAGTTGGAGATCTCACTTCCTCCGTTGTCCTCCGGGGCGTCCCATGTCAAGTAGCACGAGTCTGCTTTGATGTCTGATACAACAATATTCCTCGGAGGTAGAGGACGGTCTGAAATTTCAGAACTGGATTGCTCAGTATGCATGTGGATCTAACTGTGAAAGAACTGAATGAGAAGGTGGTGCAGGAGGATCTGGTTCTTACCGAGGATCTCAACTTTAATGACATGCTGAGCTGTGCCGTAACAGTTTTCAGCTACCAGCTTGTAGCTCCCTTTGTCCTGTCTGATGGTTTCTGGGAAAGCTATCTTTGTCCTCAGGGTGGTCCGGTTCACCTGAAGACAAAGAATGTACATGTGGATATCGTATCAGACCTAACACACCACAGGTTTCACAGTTTCTAGATATTAAAATAGTTCTCTTATAGCAGCCACACTGACCAATCACATCTTTCTTAAGCTTTTTTAATGGTTCAAACCCTGAATCAGATTTATGTCTCACCTCCTCTGTCTCCATTGTCATCTTGTCATCTTCAGGCTTCTCAATCACAGTGTTGTCTTTCATCCACTGGATAGTTGGCAGAGGAAGTCCAGTCACTTCTGCTGGGATGTCAATGGCTGCTCCTTTCTTCACGATGATTGCATTGCTCTTGAAGTATTTCAAGATTGTGATAACCGGAGAAACTGTGGCCAGACAACACAAATGTTTGACTCTTTAATAAAATCAGTCTGACTGTGATCAATCTTCAGTACCGTTTGTACATACGTTCATCGTCCTGGATCGTAGCCGTGATTGGTTTGGATGGTTCTCCATCCCCAATTTCATTCACAGCCTTGACACGGAACTGGTACTCTTGCTTCTCAGAAAGGCTCTCAACTGTTCCACAGCACTCTGTAAAGAGCTTACGATTGGCCACTTCAAACTCAGTGCTGTCGGACCTCATCTTCTCCACGTAGTACCCTGTGATGGGGCTGCCTCCATCAGAGCGAGGAGGCAACCAGGTCAGAGTGATGGTGCTCTTGCTTCGGTCAGTGTAGCGCAGTTTCTCAGGGGCAGATGGTGTTCCTGCAACATTGTGGAAGATGTCAGCTCATACTTCTTCAAATACCAGGAAATGTATTCTCCAGATTGTATGTTAGTGCRTTTACCTTTAGGATCCTCAGCCAAAATGGGTCCCAGGTCTGAAGGAGCTCCTTCACCATACTTGTTCCTGGCAACGACCCTGAAGACATACTCCTCACCACTCAGCAAGTCATGAACATCACACTTACAGGACGCTGTCTCGATGGGCTGACGGAAAAGCTTCTTGTTGGTATCCTTCCTCAGCACCTCATAACCGATGATGTCACTGCCTCCATTGTCCACAGGATCTGACCAGGTCAGGACAATGTTCTTCTTTGTTACCAAGACAGTCTTCAGGTCAACCACAGGTCCAGGAACATCTGTGGAAGAGAGGTTTGAGTTAGATAAATCTCTTCTGTGTTTCTACTAAAACTTTGGTTTATCTGGTTTCCAGGATCTCAACAAACATAAAACAGCATTTTAAAACTGTAATCATGACCGTTTAAAAATAAAAGAATCTGATTAGTTTTCTCCTGGGTTCACATACAGTTTGTCCCTGACCATGTTAGTGCTGGTAACACTGACCCATAACGTCCACTCTGGTCTCTGCAGTCTTGGTGCCGATGCTATTGGTACCGGTGATTTGGTACTTTCCGTGGTCTGATCTCACTGCCTTCTTGATGAACAAAGTGCTCATCTTCCCCTCGGTCTCCACAATCATCCTCTCTTTGTCGATTTCAGCCTCATCCTTGGCCCATTTGATCTCGGGCTGGGGTCGACCGGTCACCACAGCAGGAAGCTTCAGAGGATCGCCGGCTTTGATCATCACACCATTCTTCACAGAGATGTCAAAGTCCACAGCAGGAGACTCTGAGGGACACGGACAGTGGGACATGTTTCTGACAGGTGTCACCTCCTACAACTGTAGCTGAACTTATAAACTCTAAAATCTAAAGTCATTCAGAGTGCAGGTAGTAAGTCCATGAAAACTTTAGATGGATTTTTGGTTTTCAAAACAAAACAATTCAACAATCTTATACATTTCCTTCTTATGTTTAAAATTTAAGAGCAAAGCTTTGTTCTCATTGTCAGTGTAATCAGTCTCTCATTACCTTCAGGTTCTTTGACCGTGACAGGTTGAGTAACACCTGGAGCTCCGGGGCCAGCATCGTTGACTGCAACAACCTGGAAATAATAGTCTGTTCCTTCTGTGAGGCCTGTTGCTGTGTAGGTCAGCTCCTTACACCTGAACTCAGTGCAGCGGCTCCACTTCTTATCTCCGGTCAATGCCTGTGAAACCCCAGTTCAGGATTTAGGATTTATGTCCCTGCACATGTTTCAGTTATGACAAGTCCTACTGAACTCATTTTGTACCTTCTCAACATGGTATCCCAGAATATCCCCACCACCATTGTACAATGGGGGCTTCCAGGCCAAGATAACAGAATCCTTTCCAGTGTCCACAATCCATGGAGAGGGAGGGCCAGGAGGAACTGTGTCAACAGAAAAAGTACATGTTATATATTATTGTGTAAACGTTCTGAACTGAAAGTCTGAAAAAAGAACATTAAACAACCAAAGACACTCTTCAAAAAGTTAGATTCTGTTTGTGGACTAACGGGTGATGAATCCTCCTCCAACCTGTCATGAWGTCATCCATTAAGGTCTAAAATCTTTTCAGTCATTAAGTCTGAATTTCATTCATCTCAATAAAAGGAGACAAACAGTTTGATCAGACTTTAGAAGTTAACTAATAAAAACAGAGTGCGYCTCCAGAGTCTCAGCTCTTTGAAGTTGTTTTACTTCAGTATTTTAATGAAAACTTACGGATAGCATCCATGGCTACGATGCGGTCAGTGGGATCACTGAAGGGCCCGGGGCCAGCCAGGTTCTCTGCACACACTCTAAAGATGTAGGTCAGTCCCTCCATCAGTCCTGTGACCGTCACATCAAGGGAGTTGAGGAGGACCCGGTTGACTCGGCTCCAGTGCTTGCTRTTTACTTCCTTCCTCTCAATCCAGTAGCCCAGGATTGGGCTGCCGTTATCCTTTGGCTCATGCCAGGAGATGTGGGCAGAGCTTGCTGTCACCTCATGCACTCTGGGGGTGTTGGGAGCATCAGGAGGATCTGAGGGAGAATGAGAAATACAAAAATGATTTAAAWATTGATGAAAAGTGGCGTGCAGTGACCCTTATATGTGCTCTCTTCACTTTCATGCTTTTACTTACTGAACTGGTTCTTGGCAACAACTGGCTCAGAGATGCATGGTGGACCGCAGCCATACTTGTTTTCAGCACTGACTTTGAAGATGTACTCCTTCTCTTCAATCAGCTTGGTGACAGGGAAGCTGGTGCCTTTCAGAGTGGAGGTGACGGTGATCCAGCCAATCTCATCGTTCTTGTTGTCCTTCTTCTCCAGGATGTAGTTGAGGATCTCACTGCCACCATCATCCTCAGGAGGCTCCCAGTTACAGATGACCGAGGTGTTTCTGATGTCATCGAAGGTGAAGTTGATTGGACGGCCAGGTTTGTCTGCAGGGCATGGCAGTTAGGTCAATGTGTTTTTGTTTTTTTATAAATTTCATTAACTCAATAATATGAATATTTCATAGTTTATGAAAAAGAGCAGAAAGAAGTATAAACTTGTAATATTTTCTCCCTATTCACATAAACACACTCTGTGTGTCTCTGTCCAAATATGGAGGGAGGAGGAACAGTGTTTCYTCGTTGCTCAAGCTCTGTTCACGGCTTACTTGTAGCATCCATGTTGTGTTAGCGTTAGCAAACACTGAAGGACTCATATTTATWATGATGCTTAGCAATGGTGGCTCATGAAGTCCAAAAAGACGCATGTTTCCTGGTGTTTTTTGGGATCGAGGCCGGTCTGTATTCACACCAGAACTGAATCACACCAGAGTTCATTTGGAAGCAGACCGAGACCACCTCCAAAAGTGGGTCTTGGTCCGATTGTTTTGTCCACTCCAGGGTCCAYTTGAGTGTATTCACAGATGCATAAAAGATCAGCCCAGTGGGGGGGAACAAACTCTGGTCCATTTAAAGTGGACCAAATGTGTCAGGTGAGAATAAACCGAAGATTTATTTGCTTTCTCTTTTTACAAACCTGTTTTGAGTGTTGTTTGGTAAAACAACCTTCAGAGAATAACAACATGAAACTACAGTATATAATTCTACTCATAAAGACCTAACAGAACCCTGTGGAGAAAGTGTGTGACAGACTTCTTACCCATGACGTTGACAAAACAGGAGGCTGAAGCAGCACCATGCATGTTCTCCACCTTGATGGTGAAGGTCCCGTGGTCAGCTCTGACAGCATCACGGATCATCAGAGCCGACTGGCCTTTTGTGGTCTTATCTAGACCAAGACGCTCACGCATGGGGGTCACAAACTCCTCCTCTGGTTCTGGAACCTGCACCAAACAAAGATAAAAAATATGTAGAGGAACAAGAAACCATTGAGTCCCTCTGATGTCTCTTTACTGGAACACACCAGGGCTTTGGTCTTCTTCTTCTTCTTGACCACAGGGATTATCTTTTTYGTGGGCTCTTTGGTGACATCCTCTTCATTTCTCAGCCAGGTGACTTTGGGATATGGAGAGCCAGAAATGTAGGCATCGATGCGGATCTCCCCGCCCTTTACAATGCAGAGACCTGACTGCACACGAGCATGCAGGGTGACCTTTGGTTTTTCTGGGAATCAAGGGACATAAATATAAGACCCAATATAAAAACACTGTMATTTATTGAAAACAAATTTATAGTTTGACATACCAACTGGGTCTGCAGCCTTTATGAGTGGGGTGCTGCGGGATGGCTCACTGAGTCCAGCAGCATTCTCAGCACGGACCCTGAACTGATACTCCATCTCTTCCTGCAGACCTGTCACCACGTAGGAAAAACCGGGAACCAGGCTTGGAGTGACTTTCTCGTAGCGGTCACCATCCTTCTCAATCTTCTCYACGATGTAACCCTGAATGGGGCAGCCACCATCATAGTCTGGAGCCTTCCAAGTGACTGTGATGGAYTTAGATGTGGGGTCCTGAGCCTCAACCTGGATGGGTGGGTCTGGTTTCTCTGTGTGATAAACAACACCACCACACAGTAAACATCTGAGTGTTTGAACCATGATGCTGTCATAGGAACACCTTGTTGTGTACACAAGATTAGCTGGTGCACTCATAACCCCTCTGTGGATCTTGTAGTAACAGAACTGATCCCAGCAGGCTCCCCTTAAAGAACTTTTAATAAAAAGACCCTCATGAACACTCAGACCTAAGCTCCATTCAGACTTCACTTCAATAACAAACTGAAAGTCTTCATTCTTTGATGTTTAGTGGAAACAGAACTTACGTTTGATTTCCTCTGTGATGACTGGGTTCCGTAGCTCTAGATATTCTCCTGCTCCAACCTTGTTGACAGCCTTCACTCTGAAATAGTACTCGCAGTTGATGTAAAGATCTTTGACGTTGAAGGTCAGAACATTCTCTCCTGACATGATGGGCATGTATGTTTTCTTGGACGCCTCACGGCGTTCCAGAGTATAGCTGACAATTGGCGTGCCACCATCATCTTCTGGGGCTTCCCAGCTTATTTGACAGGAGTTCTTAGTGACATCACTGGAGGTGATGTCTTTACACTGACCAGGGAGTCCTGTAGGATGATAGTACCATGCACCAGACAATCAGTCCTGCTGCACTTGTTCATGTAGTRACAAACATTTTATGAGGAACTGTGATGAACAAACCTTTAAACTTATTTCCAGAAATACCACAATTCTATTTTTATTGGTCTAAACTAGTTACACTGGAACATTGGGCCTCATGCAAGAACCGTTCGTGTGCACAGATTTGTTCTTAAGTTGTGCGTACGAGTGATTTAGGAG